TGAGTTCTCATTTTTTTTAAAGATAGATAGGAGACTGACACTCTCAGATTATTCATGCTGTCGAGGAGATGAAAGCAAACATTGAGCAGCTGAAGAAAGATATTTCCGACGCAAAAGCTCGCCAGACGGAAGCATCCAAGGATATCAAGCGAATTGAAAAAGACATGAGTGAATTTAATGATAACAAGGACAGCAAACTGGCGGAATTACAGGAGTCCCTAGACTCCCTGAAGAAGAGTCTCGCTAAAAATTCGAATTCGGTCAAGACCTTACAGAAAGAACTACAAGCGTCTCGACTGGAGTCGGAGCAAGTAGGAAGCGATCTCTCAGCTGCCGAAGAACAGAGCGCCGAGGCTGAGAACGCCCTGAATGCCCAAAAGGAAGAAGTCAAATCGCTCAAAAGAGAACAGGCACGGATCAAGGTACGAAGAAACCGAGGGTATAATTGAGAATCGGTTGCTGACCCGTCATAGGACGCCCACGATATTGCCCAGGCCCACCTCGACGATGAAAGAGCTAAGCTTACTGGTTTCGATGAGGAGCTACGAGAACTTGAGCAGACCATGCAGGCAAAGAGCTCACAGATCACTGAAGAGGGCCTTGATCTGCAGAAGCTCGGCCATCAGCTTGAGAAACTTCAGAAAGACCAACAAGCTGCAGCTCAGACAGTTGCCCATATGGAGGAAGAACACGAGTGGATCGAGGATGAGAAAGATAATTTCGGTCGTCCAAACACTCCTTACGACTTCAAGAACCAGAACATTGCGGAATGCAAGGCCACCCTCCGGAATCTTACGGAACGTTCTCAGGGCATGAAGAAGAAGATCAATCCCAAGGTCATGAACATGATCGATAGCGTGGAGAAGAAGGAGGCTGCCCTGAAGAATATGATGAAGACTGTGGTTCGCGATAAGCGCAAGATTGAGGAGACCATTCTCAATCTGGACGAGTACAAGAAGGAGGCGCTTCACAATACTTGGACCAAAGTCAACGGCGACTTCGGTCAGATCTTCGCAATGCTTCTTCCCGGCAGTTTCGCTAAGCTGGATCCTCCAGAGGGCAAGGAGATCACTGATGGCTTGGAAGTTAAGGTGCAACTTGGCAAAGTTTGGAAACAGAGCTTAACAGAACTAAGTGGTGGACAACGGTGAGCAGAGCATCTTACTTGTTCATACGGAAGTTTGGCTAATCACTATACAGATCCCTCATTGCTCTTTCCCTCATTATGGCACTTCTGCAATTCAAACCGGCACCCATGTACATTCTGGACGAAGTCGATGCCGCCCTGGATCTGTCTCATACACAGAACATTGGTCGCTTAATCAAGACGCGCTTCAAGGGTTCTCAATTCATCGTTGTGTCACTGAAGGACGGCATGTTCCAAAACGCCAACCGTATCTTCAAGACAAGATTCAGCGAAGGAACGAGTGTTGTTCAGGCTCTGACTCCTGCCGACTTAAAGTAATCTGTTCATGGTACTCCTTGAGGTTAGAATTTGGGGTGGAATGCATATATCACAGTCTTCTTTTTGGTTGGGCATTGTGGGATAGGAGCGCATTATGTGGAACGTTCTTGGCCGAGGTTTGGAGACGGTGTTTTTTCCGGCATGATGTATATGGATCTGGATGAACTTCTTTTCTTTTTCTTTTTTTTTTTTTTGGGTGACAGTTACATTCTTGTCTCTACTTCCTTTATAATGATGCACATGATATGAGATTCTCTGTGACGCTGATGGTATAAGGGGGTACAAAAGTGAAACGGTAGAGTCCATGGTTCGGATTTTCGAATGGGGCGAGTCTCGATAGCCGCGGAAGTTGCTGACTTCCGACTGGTATTAATTGTCCCGAGAATTCAATAATCACTCGGAGGTTCAACTTCACCAGTTCCGTATTCCGTACCTCGCAGCCTGCATTTTCAGACTTTCCACCCCCCATTTCACGTACTTTAAAGCCTTCCGAAGTGTGTCATTCATTTCTCCTTTATATTTGCCTGTCTCCCTGATCATTGTTCATCTGTCCGAACCTCTGGTGGGTCGATTTGCTAGTCCCAAGTGTGGCGCCCGGCTGAACGTCTTCCACCGCCACATTTATTATCTAAGGCTGAATTAAATACTCCGACCGCCTCCCTCCTGGACGTCATTCCCCGGAAAGTGATCCCACGCCGATCCCCGACTTTTAGCCAGTCACTTTCACACGGCCGTCTAGCATTTTACTGGCAGTGTTTTTGAACTCTTTGCTCAGTCGCGATTATCGGGATCTCACGCATACTTTCACCCCGCTCCCGACATCATGCCCGAGGAGGAGCCGTCCGTGAACATCTCCTCACTGCTGACGCTCGCCGTCGTGTCATTCTTCGTCATCCGATGGTTTCTCAAGCGTGACGGCGATGGAGGTGATGGAAGCGGTCGCAGTCGTGCGCGCGGAGCCATCGACCCAGCACAAGTCGAACAAATATCCCAGATGTTCCCTCAGCTCAGCACACGCGACATCATGTGGGACTTGCAGCGCAATGGTGGTAACGTCGCAGCAACCACGGAACGCATCCTGACAGGTCGAGGATTGGAGACAGTACGTATATGTTTATTATGGTGGTGCGAGTGTCGCGCAGCGTAAGCTGTATGCTGACGAGTAACTTCCCTCTAGCCGCCACCCTCGTTCCAGCCTCAGGTCGCCATCCCCCAGGCCAGCACGCCAGCAGCACAAACTGCCGCCGCCTCCGCGGCGTCGAAATCGGAAGGTCAGGACTTGATTTCGCGGTACAACCTTGGCGGTAAAGTCGCCACCGACGGCGCTGAGACCACTCAATCGTCGCCGTCGTCTGGCTGGTCACAGAACAAGGAGGAACGTCAGCGTATCCTCCAGAAGCGGAGGGACGATATGATCCTGGCGGCGAGGAAGCGAATGGAGCAGAAGGTCCAGGGAAGTGTGTAACCGAGATGCAGAATGATTCTGGACACTTTATCTCGGTCTGTACCTCTTGCCTTTCTTTGTTTATTTCTTTCTTCCTGAAGCCCTATTCCTGCCGAGAATCTTATACTCTGTTGGCGCTGGGATGTGTAGATTGCAACACGGGACTTTTCTGAACTGATTCTTCCTTCCATTTTGCTATACCCGGTTTTGGCTTCCCACTCCTCTCCGACATTCTCTTTTTCACTTCTCTCTCTCTTTCTCCCAGCGTCTGTTTCCCGCAAAGCGTTGCATGCTTATGGTGTTAGGTTGAATCAGAATACCCGAGGCTTAGGTACTAGGAAATATAGGGTATATATACATGTATAGATTGGGTTGGTTTAGTAATGGGGTTCAATGTAGTAGTTCTCGCTATAGATGTTATCAATTGCCAAGTCGTACATGTCGTACCGCGTCATGTCTCTATGCCTATTTGAAGGCGGGCTATTCTGTTATTCACTGATTCTACCGTGTTGTTGCGCTGCGCTGCGAGTGTTAGGGAGCAACAATATACCTGGCCGTTTCAAAGGATCTATATTTTGATTGACTGCTCGAATGAAACACCACGTGACTATATTCCTATACTAGTAGTATATACATCTATCATTTTGGTATTCTACACCAACCCCTAGCTTGGACTGCTTGAACTGCTTGAACTACTCCTAGGTTGTGTATTCCTTCGCTGCGCACGTCTTTCGAGCCCACATAAGAAGGGTTGAAGGTCACTCGTATGTGCTCCAATACATGATGTGATTATATCTGTCCCTCGACATACATCGCTGAAGCAGACTCTGGATTATCTCCGAAAATCATCTTCACCAGCCCCCAGGGGCTACATCACCATTATCATCACGACCATTATCGTTAGAGCTCTCCTTATCCTCATCCCAGCGGAAAAGTTCATCTCTCATTCACTCCCGAGCCTCCTGATTTTGCTCTCGCGCTCTGTGGAGGTCGAAAGCCTGCCCGATAATCTTGTATAGCTCACCGATGACTTCCTGTTTATCATCCCATATCAAACAGCGTTTGGACACCTATTTGTGATCATGTGGGTTTGCTTCGTCAGGCTTCCACCCAAAGATAAAAACTTACACGGCCCCTGTCGCTGAGGTGCAAGAAGGTCCAAGTGTGGCCATCGGTACAGACTGCTGCTTCAAACCACCACCAAGTTTGTGTCCTAGTTTTTCCGTGCCCCATACCACAGAACGTAGTCCACCGATGCTGTCAAAGCCTGATCATCAGATCCAGTGATTGTTGTCTCAAAATGCTAGTACGGTGCTACGTGAATGTTGTGACTAGGTGGTGATGATGCATCAGTGTAAAGTTGATCCTTCTTTCTCCTCACGATCGCCGACAGCTGCAACAGAACTCAGTCTACTTTGGATCGAATCGAGCTTGGCTTGGTGTCTTCGGTGGAGTGTACGAGGGCGATGTCGGTCATCAGTTGCCCTTAAGGTGGTCAATATGGCGATCTTGTACCTACTGACGGTAGAAACAAACCGAAATGTTCAGGCATCTGAACACTCATACTCTCCTGATCAACCCTCTACATCTGTTTTCTTCGGCATCTGAACTGGGGGAAAGCTTCAGCCCGCAAAAAATATGCACAGAAGCCTCTCTGGCTAGCTCATCCGTATTTATGGGTAGGTTAAGCCGATCCACGCATTGATTGATGAATTCGTCCTCTATATTCTCTATTTTATGCTTCTGGCTGATATGGCGCCCCGGGTGCCTCACTGTGAAACAGATGTCATTTAAGTGAATGGGAAACAAAAGAGACGAGTGAAGCATAAAGTAAGGAAAGAAGGTGAACAAAGAATTCAATAGAAAGGGGTGGGTGGTAGGGGAAGAATTCCGTAACAACGATGTCAACCTTTTGCCTGCCTACCTAACCGAACCTATCTACCCAGGCACTGTGAACTTACCTGAAATGAGGAAAAGAGGTTAATAAGTGGAAATGATCAATATCTCTCCCTTTGGACCTTCTAGTCCTCGATCTAGGCTCTAGTCAGCCAGGACTAAATTATATCTATCAACTCGAGTCCACTTATCACTATGGAGGTTGTTCTGAACCGTGCTGAGGCGCGGATCAAAAAGGTCTTGGGGAAAATAAAAGACAACGCCCTCCACGAGGAAGTAGATACTGTATTTAGTATTGCGAGGACTGAGAGCAGGATGGCCATCCAGTCCCAGAAGAAGCAATTGCCCCATGTTCCCGTCACGTCTCTCAATCCCCAGGACGTCTCTAATATCTTCGGGATCAACGAAGGAGGCGAATATAACCCCTGGAAATTCACCCAGGATGAGTTGCGCGCAGTCCCCGACAACCTCAGCAAGCTTGCTTTGGTTCCTGAATTCCTAACGTCGAGTGGAACTAATAGTATTAGAATCTATTCTCGCGGATTACGCGGTTGCTATGGGCGGTCCCCCCAAGAACGAAGCTCTCATTAGATGCAGAATCGACACAATTCTCTTGACCTGCTTAGCCGCCCAGAAGAGAGCGAGTGCGCGAGATTCTAGTTCATCTCTCCTATCCATTTTCCTCCAGTGTGAGACTGACATGCTGCTGCCATGGACATATCAGGGCGAGCGAAAGATTGTCTTGGGCACAACAGATTATTCCTTTTAGTATCAAGTACCACAGGAGATGGAGTGCAATCTTCTGGTGGTGAAAGCCAAGAGGAAGAGTGTCTCTGGCGACTACCAAGCATTGGCCTATATGGGTACGCTTTCCTGTAGTCTATTGAGCGCATGTATGTTTGCTTACCGATTAACAGCGATGCTGCATCATGCGCGGAAGGAAGTACAGCAGAATGATGTTTCGATCTATGGTATCGCCACTGATAGCTTCACGTGGACTTTTTTGTATCTTGACAACAGTGGAAAGGTAGAATGTCAGCTCGCTATATTCCCTGGACGATTCAGCTAACGGAATTTTCCAGTGGGCCTCTGGCCAGGAGAATTTAATTGTATCTATGATACATATGATTATTCGCCGTGCCGCGTCTCTGTCCAAGCAAGCGCTCAAAACGTTTGCTACCACCAGCCATGGGGTGAAGAGAACTCTTGGCGGAAACAGCAGATTGGAGGGAGTTTTCCATAGGGAAAGAGTTTAGATAGATTATGAGTTACTATCCATGATTAAAAACCCAGCTTGACTGAAGTCTTCCGGTTGCAAGGATCGAGTTACCCGATCAAGAAGCAGATCTTATCAACGATCAAACCGCCTATCATGTGCTCAGATACTAGTATAAACCCCGCCTCTTGAAGCCCTAGATCCCTCCCCGATGCATTAACGTATTTCAATCCAATGTAACCCTTTCCTTTCTTCGCCGAATCTATATAAAGAGACACTAAGATCTCCCGAGTAGCCTCCAAATCACGTAACTAGCCCAGCTCCTATCCCCTCCCCCATTCATCCACCACCAGCACAAGTAGTATTACACCACCCCCAACCCCGCATATCCAACCCCCACAACCATGACGGCCATCCCCGAAACCCAAACCGCAGCAGTGCTCCCCCCGTCCGGCGCAACCGCCGATGCTCTCCTCCAGATCAAAACAGATCACCCCGTGCCGTCCCCCGGAGAGGGAGAAATCCTCGTCAAGATTGAGTATTCGGGGGTCTGCCATTCGGATGTGCATAGTATTCGCGGGGAAACGCCGATGTTGACCGACGTGGCGGGTCATGAGGGGGTGGGGAAGGTTGTTATGGGTAAGTACTGTCATATTAACTATCCTGATTCATTGACCTGGGGAGATTGCTGACTTGAGTCGCTGCTGATTATATCATGATCATGCTAATTGCCATTTGTAGTGGGTAGTGGGATTGATGAGCAGGAATGGATTGGGAGGAGGGTTGGGATTAGGTTAGTGGTTTTTCTCTCTTTGGATTTATTACCGTTTTAGGGCTGTGCTAATATGACCGTGATATGGTAGATGGCTATATAGTTCCTGTTTGAACTGTGAGATTTGCGCGGTGAATAATACGGCTTGTCCTTATCAGAAGAATGCCGGCGCGGTATGTTACTCCCCCAGTGAATGCCTTCCCCTTTGTTGGTATACATCGCGCTGATATGGATTGCGGTGTAGAATGTGCCTGGGACTTTTCAACGTAAGTGAACCTGACACAGATTATGTTGTGAGGTGAAATAGCGGCTGATGAACTGGGCTTCAAGAGTATATCGTCAGTCCTGCTATTCATGTCACTAAGATTCCCTCGGAGATTGCGCCAGATGTAGCAGCGCCGTTGCTGTGTGGTATGTTGTGCTCTTCGAGTGTACTAGGTTCATTCCATTCGTGCTGAGCATTCTACAGCGGGAATTGCAATGTACTCGTCGATTATGAAGACAAGGACACGACCGGGCGATTGGATCGTTCTTCCGGGAGCTGGTGGTGGTCTGGGACATATGTTTGTTGCTCCTGCTGAAAAAAAGCAAGTTTAATCATGCTGACAACCTCCTAGGGGGGTTCAGATTGCAGCCAGGAAAGGACTGAAAGTCATTGCGATTGATAGGTACTGCTTCCCCTCACCGTTGTAGCGATCCGTTAACCCGCACTAATACTCTCAATAGTGGCGAAAAGAAGAAGGAGCTGTGCCTTGCTCTCGGAGCCACCGCTTTCTTTGATTACAAGGTCGACGATATCGAAAAGGAAGTAAAAAGCCTGACAGGCGGGCTCGGAGCCCATGCGGTAATTTGCACTGCCAATAGTGAACCCGCATACACGCAGAGTATGCGATTGCTTCGCAGTCTTGGGGTTCTGGTTTGTGTGGGCATACCCAGTGTTCCGTTCAGGCTACCGGCGACCCCGTTTGATATGATTGTTAAAGGGCTTACTATTGTTGGGAACTCGGCGGGTACGGCAAAGGAGATGGATGAGTTAATGGCGATGGCTGTCGCTGGTGACGTGAGGGCACATATTGAGTGCTTTGAGCTTGATCAGATTAACGATGTGGTGATGCGACTTGGACGCTCTGAGATTGATGGGAGAGCTGTAGTGAAGATTCCGGAATAGACGACTTGCTCGTTCACAGGGACGGATTCTTTGCTCTTCTAGAATACACGGGTTTTCTGAATGTCAAAAATTCAAGTGATAGTCTCTCTAGTCTCGGCTGGTAATAAGGGCAGAGGCATGGGGAAGGACATGCTCAGGTATCCATCCAACCTTTGAGCGAGTGGAGTATGAAGTTTACCAAGTCCGCCCCGCTCAGCGCGGTACACCATATGGGTATTGCACTCTAATTGAGGGCTCCACTGCACGGAATAGTTTGAGACAACGTGTCGGATTCGGTCGAGAACAGACTGGTACGGAGAATGCGATATTTCGCTAGCACCCTTTCTTTGTGGCGAGACATTAACTCAGCAGGTCTGAGCCCGTCCAGGAGGATTTTGCTCGGCGGAAGACTTGGGGTCAATACCCAGTAAAAAAGTGGCCAGTCGCCTGGTAGTAGTATAAACCCTATCGTGCCCAGAGTAGTAGGTTCATCATCATCCCAGTGGTTCAGCGCTGGAGTGCAGTGTAGCAGGTTTCCACCGACTCCGTTCCAAGTTTGAAACCACGGGGCTCAGTTTTCGTCGTCCGCGTTGACCATCTTGCAGCTTTAAGTGGAAAAGCATCGTGAGGACGCCCTCTCATACCGTGAGTTTCCCTTGCATTAACGGTGCTGGTCGAATGGATCCGCCAGGGGGGGAAGTGTGCCGGCAGACCGCCCGCTGATTGGCGCAACCGAAGTATGCAACGCAGGAACTCGAACATCATCCGTAACTGGGCTCGAGTTTCTTCCCCACGACGTTCCTCTGGCTGGACTGCCTGATGGCCAGTGCATGTCCACACATGCAGACATGCTGCTCTCTGACTTGTCGGTTGCGACTGATGGATCGGATCCCTTTGCGTCGGTGCTCCAGCTCCACGAGCAGATCCCCCGTCGTCCATAGTGCGAGCGTCGTTGCTAAATTTTGACCTGAGGAGGGAATGACCCGTTCACTTTCGGAGTTTATTGTCCCTAGTCGGACTCAATTGCTTCGACGATGATTCGCCTCAGGCCTCGTGGAGCCAATGGAGCTTCGTGAGAGGATCTGCTTTCATCCTCGTTTTCCCGCAGTTATCGATCATATTCCCCTTTGAGCCGGTGTCGATTATCACTTGCCACGCCCATGTGTGTTTCTGATAGGACCTCACCTTGCTATCCCTTCGTTTGGATCCGGCCTTTGTAATGGATGGAGGGGCATGGTGGGGCACTAGAACGATGCATTCAAAGCAGCTCTAGTCTGGTGGAGGCATTTGATTCAAGAAGGCCCTCCTTCCTCGCTCTTGGGTCTCTTTCGGTGTCAGATTCATATCTGTCTCTCTCCTTGAACAGGAGAATCAGCTTCTCACCAACCACATCTAAACGCCATGAGCTCCCTAAGTACTAGCTTAGGCGGTGTCGCGAACCGCATGGACTGGCTCTATGTCTACATCGCTGGCACTGCTTTCCTTGTCTGCGGCTTGGTCGCCGTCGTTCTCTTAGTATCCTCTCAAAAGCAGAAGGCCGAATTTAACAAAAGTGGTGGCCTCTTGACCTATCTGAATTTCATCTATGCCACATTCCTCAAGCCCCATGACAAAACTGGGAATGGTCAACAGGACGCCTTGGAGAGCTTCTACAAGACACAGGTGCGTGTTATTGAGTTCCGCACGGTTTTGTAGCTCAATTGCTAAAAGATAATTAGGCTGGCGCGTACGATGCCACGCGCAAGCGCCTTCTACGTGGCCGAGAGGACATGCTTGGTCTGACTGCGGCCCAGCTGAAGTTTAAGGCGGAGAACAAGGAACTTAAAGCTGGAAAGGCAGTTTGGGTTGATGTAAGATCATTTCCATCTCTCGCAATTATCTGGGCCGTTGCTGACAATGTAGATTGGCGGTGGGACTGGGTGAGCACAGTCGAAAAACCAATGCTGGTCTGTTCTAACTGTCTTACAGATACAACATCGAAGCTATGTCAGCTTTCTTGCCCGTAAACGAGTTCTTTTCCCATGTCTACCTGGTCGACCTTTCCCCTTCTCTTTGTCAGGTAGCTCGTGAACGATTTGCGCGATTGGGGTGGAAGAACGTCAGCGTCGTCTGTCAAGATGCACGGTCTTTCCGCTTGCCGGACGCAGACAGCGTTGACCCACGGACGAAGACCACCCCGGGCGCAGATCTCATTACTATGAGCTATAGTCTGTCTATGATTCCCGATTACTATAGTGTCGTTGACTCCCTCCCGGCGCTGTTGAAGCCGTCTGGAATACTGGGAGTTTGTGATTTCTATGGTAAGTGCCCTGATGTTGACTGTCTGCAATGCGTGCTCTCAAGCTGGAACCTTTTTCTTTTCGCTTCTATATCAAGGACGGAATGTAGAAAACTAACACCTTGTAGTTCAAAGCATCGTGGATGTCTCGTCCCGCAACTATACCGGGGGCGCCTTCAACCGTCATGTCAACTGGCTTGGCCGGGTGTTCTGGCGTGCTTGGTTTGATGTGGATCGTGTGAGCCTCGAGGCTGCCCGCAGGGATTACTTGGAATATCGATTCGGAACGGTAGTCTCCGCCAGTGAAAGAAACTACCTCCTCGGAGGAATCCCGTACTACATCTTCGTTGGATGCCAGAAGGATATCACCTCGAGCCAATCCGGCAGGGAGGCCATTGAAAAGCTGGATGCATCCTTCACCGAATCGCCGTACCTTTCTCCCGCCAACCATCGTCAGGAGATGGATAAAGCGATTGAATTGAGTGCACAAGAGGTACGCTCCAAAGCGTACGAGTCTGCCGTCATCAATCTGGGCTCGAACCTCCCCCTTCCATCATCTTTCTACCAAAACCACCACTACCGGATATTCTACAACGACCTGCTTCCCAAGCACACACAGTTCAAGAACGAATATATCTACGCTTTTAACTGGGAGGACCCTCGTGTAGATCACCGTCTGCTTGACATTAAACGAGACGACGTGATCCTGGCGATCACAAGCGCAGGGGACAACATCTTGGACTATCTTCAGAAGAGCCCACGACGCGTGCATGCCGTTGACTTGAACCCCAACCAGAATCATCTCCTTGAACTCAAGGTTGCAAGCTTCACTGCCCTTGGTCACCGTGATGTCTGGAAGATCTTCGGCGAAGGAAAGCACCCTGAATTCCGCCAACTTCTCATCTCGCGCCTGAGCCCACACCTCTCAAGCCAAGCATTCCAGTACTGGCTTGAGCATGCTCATATCTTCACATCTTCTTACGGCCGAGGTCTCTATGAGACTGGAGCTCACGCCACGCAATTAAGATGGTCCGTTACCTCTTCAAGGTCTTCGGACTGGAAGCTCAAGTGCGAAAACTGTGCGAGGCCCAGACTCTCGCCGAGCAGCGTGAAATCTGGCCGCGTATCCGCTCGGTCTTGATGAGCAAGCCTCTTCACTGGGCTGTCGTCGGAACCGAATGGTTTGCGTGGAAGGCCGCAGGCGTGCCTCGGAATCAGCGAAACATGATCATTGACGATTTCTTCAAGCGAAACGGCCTCAACCAGGACATGAAGCAGGCCAAGGATATCAGCGGCCAATCAATTTGGGAATATGTGGTGGATACGCTTGACCCCGTTGTCAAGGACACTTTGATCAGCAACGATAATTACTTCTATTTCCTGTGTCTGCAGGGGCAATTCTCCAGAAGGTGAGATTTTTTCGGCGCACCCGAATGGCGACTCGACTAACCGTGACAGATGCCACCCCACCTACTTGTCTCCCAAAGCGCACGTGAAGCTGTCCTCCCCCGGGGCCTTTGACGGTCTTCGCATCCACACCGATGAGATCAACGAAGTGATCAAACGGATAACACCGGGCAGCCTAACCATTGCCGTGGTACGCGTAGCCCCATCAGCTACAACACGCTCAAACTAGACTAACATCCGTCCTAGGTCATGGACTCGATGGATTGGTTCGACCCCGAAGGTAACGACGCCTCGGTGCAGGCACAGAAGCTGAACCACGCTTTGAAAATGGGCGGTCGTATATTGCTCCGTTCGGCGAGTATCGACCCCTGGTACGTGCGACACTTCGAGGAGAACGGCTTTTCTGCGCGACGTGTCGGCGCCCGATTCCCGGGAACATGTATTGACCGGTAAGTTTGGCTCTGAGTTTCACGGAGGATTGTGAGAGAAGTAGGACTGACGGTAGCAGGGTGAACATGTATGCCTCGACGTGGATCTGCACCAAGACCAAGGAACTGGAAACGGTGCGACCAACGGCCGAGCGATCGATCTCTCTACTGTCGCTGAATGAGAAGCGATCGAGTGTGGAGCATCTTGACCTATGATGACCGTTCGTCGATCTGCACTGGGAGTACGAGAATCTATTTTTACACTTATGATTATTTCCTCAAATAAAGTTCGGCTCGTTGGCGAGATTTTGTCTGACTAAGAGATGAGGCAGCAGATGAAAATTGATACCCTTGTTGGTGACAGGGCGTGGCCACTAACACCATCTATGTATGTATCTTTGTAAATCATGAATGAATGAATGTTGGTTCCCCCGATCAGATCGAGCGTCTCACAGTCAGGGGCAGTCCAACAGGGGGTCCAGGGCTTGAAGAATGAAATGAAAGTGAAACACTGCAGAAACAATGAAGGTCACAGTAGACGCCAAACGGGAGTTCGGAGCCCCGTCACATTTTTGAGCACAGGTGTGGATGTTCTATTTCAATAGAATTCCAACGTGGTCAGTATTCCCTGTTGAGTTAGGTACTTCCTCCTGCTGTTTGCCACGAGAAAAGCCGGGATGAAGAGGAGGAGGAGGAGGAGGAGGAGGCAATGACTCTCTCCTCGTCCCGTAGCCCTAATTTCCTCCGAGTCATCCGTTCGGTTTAATTAAACGACGGGATTAGAATTTTCTGGTGCCTGACCGACGCCCCAGGAACCGAACGCTAAATAAATCGCCTGCAGAGTGAGCGCCCTACCGCCTGTCGCTAGCGAATCATTAAGTTCTCAGCCTCGTTCTAGCCCCAACAATCGACCGCAGCATCGCCAACTCACGGACCCCCCACGTCATTCGCCGCTGTGCTGGTCCCTTGAAGACTGCTCACGTTTGGTAATCAGTCTGTTCGCAGGTGGCTCTTTGACTTCGGCGGCCCTCAAAGGAAACACGATGATTTGTTTACCCTCCGTGGATTCCGAAGGGTAATGCTGGCCGTGGTCTGTCTTTCATGGCGACGTGAGACACCGGTCAAGAGCGCATGCCTGACAGCCCCGAATGGCCAGTCGACTCGTCTAGCCGAGTCCCTGGCACGGTCACCATTGGATGAGAATCGTTTCCCGAATTCTTTTCGCTGAAGGCAAGCGACTGCAGGGAATACGGGCCTATCACCCCGAAGCCACCGTTGAACTCGGGTTTTGTCGAACCTAGTTGTTCGTTAGTATTTTAGGGCTTCTGCTCCCTCTGCTTCCTTGCTGCAAATTCTGCACCTCGTTTGACCCTTTCGTATCCATCACGGTCTTTATCCCTAGAGCAGCGCTCTCCACACTCATTGTGATCGTATCAGCTTTACTTTGCTTAGCAAACGTCGCTCCTTTTACCCGTTTGCATCATCGATCCTTCACGTTTGCGCCACATCCAATCGTAACGCAAAACACCTTTGATTCTCTGCAGATATATCATTCATTACATTGCGATATCTATCAGACCCAATCCTTCTTTCGAGCTTTCAAAGGGTTTCGTCATTTTATTGTCGCATACCGGATTTTCTATAGTCACAACGTGAGCGCCGAAATGAAGGTCACCACTATCGCATCCGTTCTCTGCCTCGCCGCGACCCAGCTTGTCGCTGCGGACACCGTCGTCACCTCAACGGCGACAAATACGATCACCAAAACGGTTTACCGTGTTGCCGCCCAAACTGCTGCTGAGAGCCTGTCGGCCACGCCGCTTGGTTCTCCGTCCTCTACGGGCTCGGTGGCCTCCAGCCATGCGCACCACGCCAGTACTGCGTCGGGTAGCTCAGCCAGCACGGCCAGTCCGTCGGCTACTCTGAGCTCCGCTGCTGGAACCTTTGATGCCAGCATGCCTGTTGCGCTCGTTGCTGGCTCCGTGGCTTTCCTGTTGGGCTACCTGTGATCTCATCACCTGACAGTGGTAGCCTCACCAAGGTGCTGAGACTTGTAAACGGTCAACCACGATGTTTTCAGATAACAGTACCGGCTCTAGCAATTACCCAAGGCTCGTCACTGGCAGATCGATTCTTGCTTCCTTTTTCTTCTTCCCTTTTTGATTACTTCTATGATACCTCTTTTTCTTTTCGAATACTTTCCCTTCCTTCTCTTCTTCCAAAGGGTTGTCTCGAAGATGACGACAACCTGGAAGAAGCCGGGTGTTAAGGATACATGATGTGCTGATATACCCCTTATGACTGCGATTTGTTACGAGTTTGATGGTGTGTGATATACCCCGTTGGTTGGTTACGGGCGATGGCCGGTGTTCTTGCACGCCGTTTGCTTGCGCAATAGTCGATCTACATACAGCAGGCGTGGCACTATGGGACTGCAACGTTGCTGTTTGCGATGTATATAGACCGATTGATAATCCCAAGAACACCCTGGTCGACTCTACGTATTGTGATTTCCTTTCAGAACGCGCTACTCTTTCTAGTCACGTCGAGACCCGATAAAATGTAAGCTGGCTGATTAGGGCGCCGACGATCGCATCAGATAAAAAGCCGAGCCGAGTGGGCTGTTGTTATCAGTAGCGAGTGTGATTGGCGGATCGCGTGGGGGAACGCGTGCCTTGCCAGTAAACAAGACACAAGTTCCAACCGTCCAACCCATTGAATCCACTGGATTCACTTTTCCGTCGGACGATCTGCATTCTTTCGGACACAATGGATCCGGTGCGCAGCCGGTGATGTGATCCGATCTGTCAAAAAACAAAAAAAATAACGGTGTCGCCTGCGCATATACCTCTCTTGATCATTGCACACCACCCCACAATCTCATTCCCACACGACACGCGCCCACCTACCTTTAAGCAGTCTCCGATCGCACGTTCTCCTGCCCGTCCGCTGCGTTTTGTTTTTCCGGCACAGAAACGTGCCCCTGACAGCGTTCGGCTGACATCATGGATAACGAGGTCCCTCTGCCCCCGCCCCGGCGCATCCGCCATCGCTCCCCGACCAAAACCCCCGTCGCGTCCGGCTCGTCACTGCGCAAGACGTATCAGCTCTCGCGCTTTGATGACCGTTCCAGCCAGCCGTCCAGTGACCCGGCGCTCTTTTCCAGTGATGATATCCCCGCGTCTGGGCTTGAGAACTATCATACGCCCGTCCCTTCCGGCAGCAGGAAACGACGATACCGAGGCACCTGGTGGGGCGAAATGGTGAAAGACCCGAAGCGCAAGAGGGCGGATTTCAAGGAGAAGCGACATGTGGACAGCGGTGTTTGGATGGGGAGCGACGAGTCCGGGGCGGAGTCCCTGTTGCCGTCGGAGGATCCATCGATGTGGGGGGAGGAGCTGCTGAAAGACACAAACAACACTGCAGGGACAGGGAGCGGCGCGGATGTCGCGATGCGTGATGGCGCTCGGTGGACGGCACAGGGTCAGCCCTGGACGCAGCGGAGGGGCCTGAAACAGGTCGAGGAACCGAAAGAGCACCAGGCCGCGCGGAATATCGTCAATGAGTGCTTGGAGAGTGGACAGGATAGCGTGGACTTAAGGTGTGTTTGTTATATCCACCACGACTGTTTTCACCCAAGCTAATCCCTCGTAGTAATTGCTACCTGAGGGTGGTACCTTCGGGCTTACTGCGGCCTTTGCAGCATCTCACGAAACTCCCTGCTATCATCGAACCTCCCATCACCGAAGATGTCTATAGCTCCTTACAACCCTTCCTGCGTTTATTCCTCACTGGCAATTCCCTGCAATCAGTGCCTGGTGAATTGTTTGAGCTTGGCTCTTTGAAAGTCCTTAGCCTGCGATATAACAAACTCACAGAGATCCCGCCCGCGATCAGAAAGTTGACCTTGCTGCAAGAAGTTAACCTTGCCGTCAATCGCTTGCAGTCCCTTCCGTGGGAGCTGCTGTGGCTCATCAAAAAGGGTGACCTGAAACATATGATCGTCCGGCCCAACCCGCTGCTGCAGATCCACGAGGCCGAGATTGCCCAGTGGCATTCCCCCGAGGGCACAGAACGGGACTCGGCAGAGGGGGGAACATGGAAGCTGGGTGACTACGAGGGCCCAGCACCCGAGGAAGCATGGGCTCCCCTCCACGTGGCCACCGGTCCTGTGCGTCGATTTAACATGGAGGGCATGCCAGTCGATGCTCTGGCGAGCGCCAGTCCACCGAATCAGCCAGAATCCCGGGTTCCGTCCCTCCGTGAAGTGTCTCTCCTGGCGTGCACCCGGTCGATCTTCTTCGACCAGGTCTCGGATGACGAGATGGCCGACTATCCTGGCTTGATACTCCGCCTCCTGCGACAGGCGAAGCAGGTATGGAACGGTGGTGGCCGGTCGTGTTCGGTGTGCCACCGGAGCTTTGTGCTTGCTCGGACGGAATGGATCGAGTGGTGGGACTGCAGTACATATGAGAGTGGACTCAAAGGGCCACGCTGCCCGGGCGACAAGCTTCGTCCTCTTCCTTTCCGCCGACACGGGTGCAGCTGGGCCTGCGTGCCGAGCGCCGAGGCGGACCAACCTTGTCAAGAAATGGAGGAGCTGTGATAAGACCAGTATTGATCGGTTGTATATGTATATGCCTTGGGCGGGCAGTATTCTTAAAAAAGCCCAGTATAGTATTCGGGTCATATATTTACATGAGGGTGTGTATAACTAGTTACCACACCCAAGTTCTGACAACCTCCTCCACGGATCCATAAGATCCGCATGTATAGTAGTATACCTCGACGTCGGTCCGCTGATTCGTGCATCCCAAGAAAAACAAGATGAGGGGAACCCTGCGCCAACAACTCTAGGCAAAACAGAACAGGAATGACAACCGGAGAATCTCATTCCTGGAGGTTTTATCTCTAGCTCCATTTCTCCGCAACCATCCCCGCACGGTCGTCAGCCACCTAAAACCATACATAAATCTATATAACTAGTGGTAACGACTATCTCGAGAGAGCCACCATTCACTCAAGTACTCCCAATCAACACGCAGACCACAGACAACATACACCCCAGAAACTACCACCACCATGACCATCCACCCAGACACTCAATCCCTCCCCACAGCAGCCCAAATCCCCCTCCAAACCTTCCACCTCCCACCCTTCCCCCGCGAAGCATCCAACCTCAAACACCTAACCCTAACCTCCGACATCAAGCCTACCGACTACGCAGACCTCCTCGCTGCTGCCACCACCACCACCCAAGACGACGCAGTCCCAGCAGTACCGCCCACTCTCCCCACGGGGATCCAATCCCTCACCCTCGAACTCTTCTCGCTAGGCTACCCAGCCCCCTTCCTCACCCACCTGGGCAAAGCCCTCCCCGCCCTCAAAGACCTAACGCTGTACTCCCACCTCATCGATGGCGTAAGTGACGCCTCCCGCCGCGACGCAGCGGACTTCATCCACGGTGCCCTCGCGGGGTTACATAGTAAGAATGAGGGCGGAGATACTAGTACCGGAGGGCTACGGGAACTGCATCTCCTGGATGTGTTCTGTCGGAAGGGCTTTATCGCGGGGATCGGTGATATTCTACATGATCTGGAGGACCGGAAAAGAGCGCTCCGTCTCCTGGAGGTGTCGTACACGTATCGCGGCCATTCCGATGGGGAATTTCTGGACCGGATCCCCGTGCAGGAGTTGCCGGGGCTGCTGGTTGGGGGGTTGGTGGGGGTGTCGTTGAGGTTGGAGGCTGCTGCTGCTGCTGCTGCTGCTGCTGATGCGTCTTCACAGGCGGGGTTGGAGGGCATGCCTGATGACCCGGCTGATATAGATGAGAACGGAGAGCGGGCTACGAAGAAGCCAGAAGGGATTGTGCCGGTTGGGTCTGCGCATGAAGGGACGCGGTTGTTGGTGGAGAGGTTGGGTGGGATTGGCACTGGGGATGAGGTGGAATCTGAATCCGAGTCAGGGTTGAAGATGCTGGATTGCACGCTCTATGCCCTGTCGCTTGAGCAGCTGGCATCTGTGCTACGGCGTCAGAGACGGTTGGCGGTTCTCAGTGTTAGTGTTCTGGTCTCGGAGGGGCAGCATGCGAAGCGAGGGTTATGGGAGACTCTGAGATTGGGGGGTGAGCAGCTGGAGGTTGTGGAGGTTGTGGGGGTGCCTGGGCCGGAGGGGAACTATGTAGGTTTCTCTTTCTCTCTCTCTCTTTTTTTATTATTTTTTTTGGAGTCTTTGAGTCTTTGAGTCTTGGGGGGTGTGTTTTATTAAAGATGGTTGGTGTGGCTAATTCAGATCCAGGTTACGGACTCGGGGAAGTCTGAGGATCTTTTCCGGGACATGTTCCCTACGTCGTCAGATATGCTGGCTCTTGCTGCTGCTTTGCCGCATCTGGAGAGCTTTTCCATGACGATCCTGAGGGCGCCGGCGTTGGGTCTGTTTCTTGGGTGAGGAGGGATGGGAAATGGGTGGATGGTACTGACTGAACGGGCGTGAGTGGGAGAGGGTGTTGTTGTTTTGTATGGAAGTGTGGATTTCTGGTTTCGTTTCTTTTCATGTTTGTTGATTCTCTCAAAAGGTCATAATGGATTGATTGATTCGAACAGCCTCCGATCTCATCGTCTAGGATACTTAGGACTGTGCTCCTGTACCTACAACTGCTCACCTTATCTATGAGTTGAAGAATACTCCCAAGCCCTATCAACTCGGCACTCAAAGCACTCTCAGCAATAGCCTGACCAAGAGAAACGACCACCCCTTCTTTCACAAAGAGAATATCTCGACAACTATTCAATATATCGGACTACAACTTGTATATATTCTTAATATATATCAGGATCTTCCCCTGACCGCCAGGGTTTCGGTATCACAAATAGGCACCAAACGGCCCGATTCCGTATCGGAACCTGACATAAAGCATCATATTATATCCAGGAGAGTCTTTTTTAAATTGGTGTATCACCACTCCTATGTGCGTAAGCGCGAGGAGACAAGTAACTAGCTATCTTAAGCCTTCAGTCAGCTGCGTTGAAAGGTGGTGATGTATGGAATGATCGGTTTGGAGGGTAAAGGAATGATACCTCAGCCTGTACAAACTGGAGCATGATTAAATAGTGGCTGCATACACCGGGCTCTCCAAAGCACCAGTGAGATTGTTTATTATGAGACAACTGCGGCCCATAAAGTCAGAGACATAGGCAGCCAAGGATCAAGAAAATTCGACTGAAGAGCTAGCTCGTTCTGCCTGAAGGCTTTCAGGGTTGTATAAGAGAATGCCTCGTATGATCATACTTGGTATGCTTCGCCGGGATCGTTGCCATTAGAGAGCTGCTCCTAATGACAGTCCGGGAGTTGCAGACGTTCTATTGACCTTGGCCTTAGCAAATTAATACTAGGTTATTCATGCAGGCCAGAGTATCGAGATGCTCAGCCCCGCGCACTGTTTTTTTTCCCTTTTCTCCATCACTTCTATATCCAACTTCTCTGCTTCACTCCATCGTCCCTGATTCCGGTAGGATGATGCCAGGTTTGCCATGCTCGTCGGAGTGGAAGCGTACTCTGGACCATCTTTTCTCCTGGTTAATCCTTCTCGGCTCATATTGCAGGTGTTGGGTCGAAAATGGGAAGATTGACATTTGGGATAAAAAGATGACGACCCAACTAGACCGATCGTCACTCAACGGAGACGGCGATCCTACCACGGTTACCACAGCTTGGACCCCTCTGGCAATGGCCACAGTCGCCCAAACAGACAATCATTTACAGAGACCCTAGTATAATCCCGGTCATCAAGACATTGGGACGCGGGGATGTATTCGGGCAACCATTATTGGACATTCCTGTCGTCGCTTCGTGGCAAGGGATAAAGGGACATCAATGCAGGGGCCATATATTCCCGTTCCTCGTCCTGAAGGACGCCCCGTTTCCATACCGAATGCTATGAGCCACATCTGTTCATTCCTAGACTGGAAGATCCCAAGAAACAGGAATTCCTGCGGAGGAAACTCCCACGCATTATGGATTCAAAACATCCGAGTATCATGGCGATGATACATTCCAGCGACTTCACCACTATTTGCCAGACATAAAGCCAGACAAATGTAAAGGCACACTAACGGACAGACAAAAGAGACCTCTGTATAAAAAAAATAGCGATTTTAGCTGTGGTCTTGAGGAGGATTAACTAGAGTATAAAATTCGACTAGCATGGAATCCCACCCTGTTTTTGGAATTTCATGCTGTGAGATCCGCTGCGAGTTTGTTAACTTTTACACACCGACCACAATTCACACAAAAATCCTAACACTAATCCGAGACCAGATTTGGATAGCTGGTGGCTGCCCACCCCGGAAGGGCATGTACTTCTCAATTTATCACACTAAAGCCGAAGTCTTTTCGACTTCAGGAATAGGTAGTGGGACATGGCCTCTCGTACATATGTCTCTATTCTGCGGCCGATCACCTCTCCAAACTCTTGCTGCCATTTCGCTGATTCCTTGTCCAAGTCAACATCGCCTATGACCTTCGAGCGGTCCACCATTGTAGATTCATAGAGGGTTTCTCGGAATGCTTGAAGCTCGGGAAGTTCTTCCGGACCGTGTTTTTCCCAGGTGAAACGAAGCCGAGAACTGTCTAGGCCGATGATCTGGCAGAGTTTGGTCAATATTTCAGGCTGAGTGATAATATCATCTGCCTCAATCACTATAGGCCACAGCATGTGGCCATCAGAACAGGGCCGAGAATTGGAAAAGTGCTGCACATAGAAGTGGTACAATTTGTATACCCACCGGAGGGCCATAGCTTTTTCATATAACTTCCGGCCTTGGTCGGACTCAACAAACTCGGAACCGGCGGCCCTGACCAATGCGCGATAGAATGAAGGAAATGCAGCAGCAGGATGTTTGATAAGAAAGATCGGTTTCCATGTCTTTAGAAAATCGTCTGAAAACAAGGTGTCATTGAGGTCTGAGCGACCGATGATCGTCTGTTCGACCTCCTCAGGCCCACGTAACGTCCAGGGAAGTTCATCGGTCACACTCTTCTCGCCATGTAGCAAACGTGTCTCGGCAATTGGCTCTGTCACATAGTGTGCGTGGTCCTTGAAGCAGACTATCTTCCCCTCTCGTTCGGCCGTCTGAAGATGCCGAAGTAGGCGGCTGTAACAATCTTTTGCACACTTCACTTGTGCTTCCTTCTGGTCACATGGAAGGGCCTGCACATGCGTCCCCATATGTCCGCTGTGGAGTTTCAACAATTGTAGTGGAAGGAAGAAACGCATCCCTTCACTGTGGGAGGCAACATTGGGCTGGTCCTCCAGCGCGAGGAGTTGGGTGAGCAGATTGGATCCGGTTCTGGGATACGTAAAGATGTAAAACCGTGCAGGAGGCTGTTTGAAGTCCATTTTGCCTAGCAAGGTTCCATTCTTTGGGGAAAGTGTGGAGATTCGGGATTGTTGACCAGCTGCCTAAAACCGATGTAATATAATCCATATCCCGTGTCTGCAAATTGGTGTGGATGACAGAATCAAGTACAGCCAGCCATCCGGATCGTCTCCATATCCCTTCCATCGCTTGACCGCTACTCTGCTGTGACATGGAGAACCTAATCCCACAGGTCAGTTCATTGTTACCGATCTCCGCGGTCTGTGCGATGCAGGAATGACAGAAATGATCTGTCATTCCCTTACCCTGAATCATGAGATGGCTAGCCAGGGTCCGACTAACACGAGTCCCCCCTTACTGGTTGCAGTCTTCAATGCATGTATCACCAGTTGGACAGAAAATGATTGGCTTTGCATAGAGGAAGACGTGTTCAAAGGGATTCTTCGGCATATTTGGGAACAGAGAGGCCGTCTTATCCACGCTTTATGGCTTTCGCGAAAAGTTTTACGGCCAGGTTACAGGCCAGTCTTGTACGGCAGGGAGTTAGTTCAAGGCCACTACCCTACGCTACCCCAAAGGCTAAGACGAAGTCAAGTCGAGTCATCGAGTCAGCGGGCGATCCATCGTAGTAGTTCTGGCTTGTGGTCGAGAAGGGAAAGAGAGGTTCAAGGGACAGCGGAAAGAGAAGCAAAAAAAATATAGAAGCGTCGGAATCTACGATTTCATGATTTTCACTTGGTCAAAAGCAATAGCGTAGCTTGCAGGGATAATGTGCGGCAAGAAGCCTACACCATCCATGAAAATCACCACAATCGGTTTGATATACGTTACAACAGGGATTCCCGCATGCTCCACCAACAGCATCGCGGCGAGATAGCAGATGAGAGTGTGAGTGGGTAAGAGAATATGCTGCCTGGCCCATTGAAGGTCTTTGCGGTGACGGAATACTGTCAACAGATGCATGTCCAATAGAAGACGGCTGACCAGTATTAAAGCGAGATATATCGGGGGCGCCACAGTCAGCCTTGGGATCCAAGCCACTTGCCGGACACCCCATTCGAAGCAGTTGCTCGCATGAAGCAAAGGTGCAACAAGCATGTTATAGCGGGGTGTCTTTTCAGCCCCCGCCAGGTAATGGAAAACGGGCTTGACGAAAAGATCAGATGGAATTTTCAGAAGACAGAGGTGCAGGATCATCGATGTCAAAACCTACCTCGCAAGCAATCTGAGCCACCGGAATCAACGGAGACCAGTTCGGTGGGATGGATTGAACCAGAAACAGGTACAGCCCAAGGTTCGTAATGGCGGCAATCGAGGAGCGCGTCCAAGAGATGTCAACCAAGCTCATGTGCTTGACAAACCTGGACATGGAGCCATGTCTGGCGCTGATCCGCCGGCCAGAGAAAAGACCATGTAGTCTATCAGTAATAACAATAAAAGATGCATAGATGCAACAGCACGCGCAGGTTATGAGCGCGGGACCCCATATTTTAGGGGTCCTGTAATCGATGAGGTACGGCAACGTGACGGAAATTAACATGGCCAGCATTATCATGCGCAGACTGATGAAATAATGAAACTGCTGTATAAGGAACCGGTTGAAGTTAAACACAATCACTGTCGCGTCCAAGGCACAGCCAGTGGCGAGAGCTAAAAAAACATCGATATAACGTGAACGGGAGAGGTTTTGCTTCAAGACGCAGAGCGTTAATCAGTAGCTGTGTGTCCAGGGCAAGGCTAGGAGTCGTCGGTACCTGGTGGACCTTGGATACGCTGATGAAGGAGCCTCTGTTCGCGTCCATAGGCCAGCGATCCAAGAGAAATATAGCAACCATGCAAAGCAGGAGATTTGGCCACATAAAACCAGGAGCCAAAACTTGAGAATTCGCGGGTCACCCAGATCAAAGCACATCAATGCATCTGTGATCGACGGGGTTTTCAGGGCGCTACGGAAGGAATCAGTTTGATTATATGGGATTAGACGCCTGGGACAATCACCGTTTTGTGTGGATCTTATATCCCATTTTTCGCAATGAAGAACCACGCAATGAAGAGCGTATGATCAAACGGAGGAACACACTACAGAGAAATAGAGAAGACTAAGGTTAATATACCTCTTCTCCAAAAAGTGGACATACGAGAGGCGAGGAGATCAGTCCGAGGGATTCTATCGAATATCTGCGAGCAGTATAGATCGACATTGTGCTTTACATATTATTGAATTAAAGTATGTAAGGTCTATGCCGATCACGATATGGAAGGACTGCATTGTCGATCCATACCTGTGCCATGAAATGGCCTTCTCAATATAAAAACCCCTTGATAAAAACAATGGCAGCCTTGATCTTTAGTAAAATAGACTCGCAGAGACCCCGAGAAAGTGACTAATGATGCCGTTAACCATCGCACTTTGTTGTCTATTTGTGGCAATGTACCTCGTGAAATAGTTCTCTAAAAGCGGCACAGGCATTTCGCCAGCTATATTCTACTTACAGTTTCGATCCAAATCTCCCCTCGTGGTTGACCGATCCACGGGTCAAATGGCGCAGGAATCGAGCCGAGAAAAAACTCACTAATCTCATGAAAGACACCATTGGTAAAGTTTTCGATAAGATAAATCGTATCCCGGGTCAGGGCTCCATCACACCCACAAATTCCACGCAATGTCCTTGCCCTGGCTCTAAATGATGTTGAGCACTTAACGGGCAAGAATCTGGCGCTTTCCTTCGAATGCCGGATGGCAGTGAACTCTGTATGGATGGCTTATCGATTTACAATTGTCATAGTACAATTCATCGTGAAGAAGCGGTATATGGAGACACGAAAGATATTTTTATGCCGGAACGCTGGCTTGATCCCATGGAGGTTAGCGCGCAACTGAGCCCTGAAAGGGGTATAAAACTAGGCGTTTCATCTGCTTCTTGTGCGCAGGTACCACCGGGTGCCTGGCGTCCTTTTGAACGAGGTCCCAGAGCCTGCCTTGGCCAACAATTGGCGCTTCTGGTAGCAAAGGTTGTTCTCATTTTTGCTGCGAGAAGGTACGACTTCAGCAAAACCGGGCTGGGTCAAGTTGCACGTAACTCAAACAATGAACCCGTTTTGAACTCGATTGGACAATATGAAGTTAGGTCTCCGCTGTATAATATGAGCTCATTCCAACTAATATCCCACCCCCGCCCCTTTTTTTCTTGGGGGTTGGGGATTAGAGACACTAACTAGAGCTCGAATCAGGCGAGGAAGTTCGTCCCGAAGCCGGTGGACAGGATGCGAATGCGTATCAGGCTTGGTTCTAAATGGCCGGAAGATTAACCAGAGTGATCATGAAGTGTAGAGGAAACTATCGACTTAAGCGGACCATCACTTGCATGTTTCCACGGACCGTGCTTGCTAATTTATATGATGCCAGCAATCCCCACACGGAACAGCCCGAATTCCTATCCCAAAATGATCATGCGGAGTTAGACGAATAAAAATGAGTCGATTCTGGGCTGAGTTGGCGTTTAGGAATAGTTCTAATCTTTTGTTAGATTTCGGGATCAAGTTCCTTAGGTCTCTTCGTGGCTGGCAGTAGCTTTACTAGTCTATACTAATTCAGCGGTATTCAATATAAACTCGATGTGAATTGACTCGCTTTCAGTCTCTGAGGAATTTGCTCAAAAAGCTAGTCGACAGCCACTCTACATCATTCTGAGAGGCCTTTATAAAAAATTCTTTCGAGTGCGCATTAAGCTTATGTGCTCGTGCCTCCGTCTTTGCTCCGTGAATCAAGTCTAATCGACCCCACATTATAAGATAGATAGCTATTAGACCAGCAATTCGAAAGACTAACTGCTCATCTAACTGGCCATATCCGTGGATAAATCCACGTAGCATAAACTCGGCACACGGAGTGCCTTCAAAATGCCACTGGATGTAGAGGCAGGCTATCATAGAAGCCAGGTCCATTGTAATACAGCCATACCGGGAGAGCTCCCAGTCAATGATAGCAAGATTTATATCATCCAGTTTCTTGCTTTCTGGATGTGACTGGATCAGAAGACTTAACTCATGACATCAATTAGTTGTCGGTAGCCAATAGGTTGGATATAATAACGTACTTTCTAGTAGTAAAATCTCCGTGAATGATCGTTAGCCGACTCGGATAATCCTGGGCAAAAGCTTTCAAGACACTCTCTCTGGCTAGCGAATCATCGTCAAATAAACTCATAGCATATTCAAATGGCATCTTTGACGATTCCACAGCAGCCTTATTCTCATATAAGACCGCTGTTTCTTCCTCATTAATATGGCTCCAATCCCGTGAGTGAAACTCCAAAAGCCATAACCCTAGACCTTGACCAATGGTTCTTGCTGTCGAATAGGGGATGTCTTTATTACAATCCAGGTAGTCCCGCAGCGTCTTACAGTTAGGAATATCTTCGATAACCTGGAGATTTGTGTATGTATCGAGATACAGGTGATCGGGGGGCCGAATTGAAACATCGGCATGCTTAAAGAAACTACCTCGCATAATCCCAAGCGATACAGCCTCAGCAACCTAACAACAATGGTATTAGCTATGAGATAAGCTCTAAAGTAGAACGCAGACACATACACATCGAGCGATTGGTAAATCAAGAGTTCCTGTCCTATCATACTGCTGACAATGCTTGACAATGACGCTCGTCCGATTGTCCGGGAGAGGTGAGTAGAGACTTCCTCGGAAAGTAAAGTTACCTAATCCACCACTCAGCTGCTTCAGTGATAAACACCTAAATGGTGTTTGAGAGAGGGATTGCATGGCCCGAGATTCAATTTCTGTCTTTTTCTCAATATTTTCATCCGCTGCTTTTGCGGGAGCAATATCTTCTTTAGCCGTCATTGTACCCTTCAAGAGCGAGGAATTAAAACGAGGAATAAAAGCTCCCAGAGAATTGAATGATAACAATAACGAAATAGACTTCGCGACAGTGGCTAGAGTTTTCGTTGAATCTTTTCTGTTGAGTGGGAATGGCGAAAAGACATACAACCTTGCTTTTATAAAAATAAAAGCGTGTGTCCCAAGTTTACTTTGTCCCCTTGAATAGCGAAAGGAACAACTGTAACTAGTTACATGTCGAGAATGCTTTTAGGAATCGGACGTATAATTTCGCAAGGGCACGAGTCTCAGCTAGGAATTATGAGCCATTCTGACAAATATGGAAATGTAAGGGACTGAGTAGCATGCGTATCCCTTGCTTGTGCAATGATCATTTTCAGCAGACGCTTGGGCTGCGGATCTCGCATGGGACCTGTAGGTCCTATCATCAGTTATGTGCAGGAAAGCATCACAAAGCCCATCCAGAAAGAATGTGACCAAGAAGGCAAATCAAATTGACTTTCAACAGCACCTAAAAGCTGTCATCCATGATGCAGTGCCTTCAGCTACTACCCCACTAGGCCTAGGAAAGGACGGTACTCTGTATACTACTACTACTACTACTTTATACTGAAACGACTGCAGCGTGCACTTGTCCACGGACTCCCCGTCCAGACTGAGAATGCGCACCGTGGCGGTGGAATTGCATCGTGGGTGGGAGTTGGAGTAATCTCCTTGATGGTTGATATGCCATTCTGTGAAGATGGAGAGGATATGAATGTGCAACACTGAGATTCTGTCAGTAAAGTTTCTGTCATGGATGGGTTTGGCTGCTGTATCGATACCGGAATGTACTGAGTCTGGACTAATTTCTAAGCATGCCGTGGCTTGAAAGATGCGGAATTGAATGTCTGGGGTATCACGTACCTGACTATACTGTATTCAGAGAAGGATAAATATTGCGCCGGTAAAATTGTACAAGAGAAGTATCGAGCTATGACAGGCCATAACCTCATATACTCATCTGGAAGAGTGGGAACAGCCACAGTAAGAACTTATGCTAAACCATTTTAACAGAATCTAGTCTTAATATTTGCAAATGCTACTATTGGACCGCACTATAACTTGATGCTAGATAAATATACAATTATAATTCAAGTAGCTTATCAATTGGATAGTGATCGTCGAAATTCTCCTCATCAATATACTGGCCAGTCTTGCACCTCACTAGCTCATTCATTTCTTGCTGCTGTTCCTCGTCCAAAAGTGCTATTCTATCATCAAGAGATGTGAGAGTTTTATAATACCGACGGTCAATAAATATCCAATAGATTTTCTCGAACATGGAGCTATATCTTGCTGCTAAGCATACCCAGAATAATCCAGTCTCCATGGAGCGTTCCATCCGTAGAGAGAGAGGCGTTGTGACTTCAAGAGGAGATATTCTTTGATCAGCATATTTTTATGGTTGTTAAGAATGTCCAAAAAAGCACGAAATTTAGGGCTATACCGAGCCAGGAACTGGTTAAGATTATCTTCCCAGTCCTCTGGACTTTGTAACAAGAGCTACCAAGGAGCTATATATGTAAACTCAGCAGGCGCGGTATAGATAAACTCCCAGTCAATCACTCCCGAGACGCGGAGAGTCTTCATAATCTTTAGAAATAACCAACGAGCGGTGTATTTTTTCCGGCAGTCGTCCGCATCAGTGACAGTATTCCGTTGCTGTAACCGAAGATGGAGCAAATACTGTATAGCAAGCACTTCAAAGTAGTCTATAGCTGACCTGAAAGGGTGCAAGAAGAAAGCTTCTGCAGATAAATTTGCAGATACCATCAACTTATTCATATTAAAAGTGAGAGATCGTCTAGTAATAGAAACGCCTTTCTTATCTCCCCCAAGCGAACCGATGGAATCAAATCTATACTTAAACAATCCGAGGATAATTGCAGCTATTTCATAATAAACCCGTTTCAGACTCCGATCACCTATTTTCGGGTTTAGGATAGGCCGTTCGTTTATAGAAGAATCTTTGAGAACTTGTAATAAGGGCACCCCTTTGAGAAATAACATGACGATATAAGGCCCAGCCCAACAAATACCGGAGCCGAAAATATCGGGAACAGGTATTGAAGTGGTGTGGTGTATATACTTTATTGTCGCGACTTCAGTTTCTACTTTCTCTCTGCGTAGAATAGTTCTTTCCAGGGCGGCAAAACGAACAATGATATCTGTTCTATCTTTATATCTGACCCAATAGTATATATTGAAAGCACCACTTTTCCATAGACATGCAGAATCAATTAGTCCAGGCCGATGCTTCTCCGCAAGTTGCATAGATAGAATCTCTGGAGCTGGAGTCCGGCTCGGCCAAAGATTTAGCCAAGCGGCAGCCTTCTGGTTCTGTTTCTTTTCAGCAAGATGATCAAACTCCATGGCTGTCTGGTTATTGTAGTTACAGGAGAAATAAGAATGATATCGGGCAGTGATGGTCAGAATGCGAGTCAAGGACAGACCGCCTTTTGTTGTCAATTAAATATCATCCTACCAGTCACAAAACTCTGTGGCTGGCCCTGTAGGCTGTGGACCAAAGAGACAAGTATCATTAATTATTCAGTAGTACTGTTACTAAGGGACTCCAAGTTTGCAAGGGCGATCTAGCTTGTATCTGATGAATCCAGAAATGTCTATATTCCCATAGCTACACAATGCATTCGACTTCCCCAGCTCATTCATTTCTCCTGATCTCTTTGTTCTTTTCATTTCCTTTGTTCCCCAGGACTATAAGAAGGCCCTCCACACCCAGCTAGTTAGTGGGTACATTACCACTAAAAGGTGACCATCAGCTTAGATAGATCTAATGCTCTTCACGAAGCGCCATAGAAATAGCCTCAAGTCCACCCTTAAGCTCCTCCACACTCGGCCATCCATATCCAATACGCATGAAAGCATCCGACTGCTCAAACCAATGACCAGGCCCGACATAAGTCCCATATTTATGGAGCAACCGATGATAAAAAGCATCCATACCACCCGCAGGCTCTTTCTTCACACGAGGAAAGCAAACAACGCCCCCCTCTGGCCTCACCCATTCAACCAACTCCCCTTCCTTTTGCATCCAATCCGCCACAATCTGGCGACGCTGGTCCATGTCCTTAGTGGTAGCACTCAAGATCTCATCCTTGTGCGAGAGAACCTGTTCAGCGATCCACTCGTCGATGACACTACCGCTGATACTGATCTGTTCTTTGGCGGCCAAGAACGTCTCCTGCAGCTTGGGATTCTTGTTGATAATCCATCCTAGCCGGATACCAGGGATCCCGAAGGATTTGGACAGCGATGAAACGCTGATGACATGGTCACCGAGAGATGCAGCAATCGGAAGACGTCCTTGGTACGCAATATCGGCGTAGGTTTCGTCGACTAGCAAGATGATTCCCCTCTCCTCGGTCAAGGAGACGAGTCTGCCCAGTGTGTCACGGTTCACAACAGTACCAGTAGGGTTGTGGGGTGTGGTAATGCTAATGATCTTGGTGTTTGGCTTTATAGCAGCCTCAACTGCGGCAATGTCGATCTGAAATCCAAGATCAAAGGATAGATCGATGAACGTGATCTCACACCCAATTGCACGTGGTGTCTCAAGATTCGTAGCGTAGTTTGGACGAACAACAACGAGGTGGTCGGTCGGTGCCAGCTGGGAGCTCGAGATGATAAAGAGAGCGCCCGCCGCGCCGGATGTAATGAGCACATCATCGTGGGTGAGGTTATCGTGGTCTTTCACGACGAGGGAGCGGAGCCCTGTGCTGCCCTTGTGCTCGTTGTAAAGGAGCTTCAGATCGGGGATTTGGAGACCCAGGGACCCTAGAGTTTGGTCTGCGATGGAACTCTCGGAGAGATTGTATTTAATCTTTTCGTAGCCGTATTCCTCAGGGGATTCGATCTCGATGGCCATGCGGGTGTACTTCATTGTGGCGGTTGTTGAAGGTGATGGGTGTTGCGACTTTGTTTTATTCTATTCCCTGTTGAGGTGAATATGAAAAGGTGGTACTGCGCAGAGATATGCTGCTTTATAGGAAAAAGAACTTCCGATGTTTTCTGTATACTCCGCATATACTTCCCCCATTCTACTTTTCCCGATGTGGTGATGAATGCGATGTACCCAATCATGAATGACACTTAATATACACAATATCCGACACTTAGCCGTCGATGACTGATACTAAACTGTTTTATCGTTTAACACTTATATTAGACTAACCTCCAGCTATCCTAGAAAAGCGTGGGACATCTCCGTGCTTCTGGTTTTTGATACATCTCTATACGTATTTACATTACAAAACAGCTGCTGGTGAAACCTCAAGTGGGATGGGTCACGTGCATGGCGTTTCCTCTCCCGAAGAACATGCCGAGTGTCAATCAATCGACACCAGTCTTGCATTCACGGCAACTGCCAAATTGGAGTTTGAACATGGTAGTATTCGAAGTGGGTCAGCAATCGCTCGCCCTCGGAAACCAATTTCCCAGACCTCCACAACGAAGGCGTGATGGCTGTTCGGAATGTCGAAGGAAAAAGGTCAAGGTAATACTTCCAATGCACAAAGTAAAATGCCCCTTCTAAGCCCACGTTTAGTGCGATCTGCGCAGGCCTGTTTGTTCGCGATGCACTCGCTTTCCGAAAGAGTGCAGATATGGCCTGAACTTTATCAGCGAGAGACAACGCTCAAGGCGTCAAGATACAGCAGAACAGCCTCTTCGCAGTCCCATAAAGCCCAATGTCAGGTTATGCGTCGATGAATCATCCTCGATTCTTCCACGCCAGCTTCACCTTAATCCATCTCCCTTTCTATCAACAGAGGAGTCTCTATTCTTTCTCCGCCTCTTTGCTACTGAGACCGCTCCGCGGCTCTTTCCCGCTGCTCCAAGCATTTTCGTGCATCAGTTAGTGAATCGTGCCCTTGAGACGCCTCACCTACTTCATGCGCTCCTAGCATCAGCGAGTAGTCACCACGGCCGCTTGGTGGGAGACACTGCCGCGAGATCAAGGACGACTACTCTGAAATTCACTAACTTTGCTGTCTCCGGCCTACGGACTGCCCTCAGTACGCCAGAGGAGATGCCGAAAGCAGAGACAACTATGACAGCTCTTACTTTATGTACAAACGATATATGTAATGGGAATCGGGACATATGGCGGGCTCATCTGTCTGGAGCAACCCGTTTACTGGCTGCTTTCTTGGATCGCCATACCGAAGCTCCAAGTGTTGCTGACCCGTTCGATTTGTGTTTGGTCAAGTGGTTTGCCACGCTAGATATCATGGCGAATCTGACAGGAATCAGTGCAAGCCCAACCGACAGGGACCCATGTTGGTACCTAGACAGGATCCCTGGCGCACGAGTTGGCTACGTAGATGATATATCTGGCTACTCCCCGGAGCTGATACCAATGTTGGCTCAGCTGGCACAGATGGCAAACAGACAAGATGTATGCATGGCAGCAAAACATAGCGCACAGTTCACCTTGCCACAGCAGCTATTGGAAGAGGCTCGGGAGCTGGAATGCAGGATCAGGTCTATTACGGATAGGTCTGTTTCAAACTCCACATCAAAAAATCATGACAGCGCGCTTACAGTCGACTTACGACACACCCATCGTGCCTTTGTCCATGCTTCACTGCTTCATCTCCACCGCCGGGTTCAATTGCTTCCGAGGGACCACAGTCAAGTCAAGGAAGATATCACCAACATCGTCAACGCTGTTGTAAATATAGACCCCCTCTCTCCTGCCAACATACTTATTCTCTGGCCGATGTTCAGTGCTGGCTGCGAGACCAGCTTCGTGAGCGAACGTGACCTGATCCAAAACCGCATGGCCAATATGCAAAGTCTTGGAATGGGCAATTACACCAGAGCTAGAGATATGTTGAGACTATTCTGGTCGTCTGGTAGTCTTTTACCATGGGATGTTTACTTTGCGGAGCAGGGGATACAACTAGTTTTATTTTGAGCATATGTTGAGACCGACTGGAACTCTCCTCCAGTACTAGTCTTCAAAGATTGTACGCATCTTTGTTCGCTGTGACTATAGCATGACGAGCTCTAATGGACAGGGGGAATATCGCCAGGAGTCTACCATACCATGTGCGCCGGCATATGGTCTATGGTTTCCCAAGCCTCATGCATTGGCAACAGACAACTGCTCATATCCGCTGTGCATGAACTCTCTTAGAGCTTGGAGGCCATCTACCATAACCTGGTGTTCTGGAACAAAGCCGATCCGAACGTAACCTTTGAAGTCAACTCCACCTCCGAAGCACTGGCTGCCAGGAACGAACATTACACCGGTCTGCTTCTGCAGTTGTTGACAGAACACAACGTCGTCAATCGGCTTTCCTTCCCGATTGACGAATTTGATCAACGCAGTGGTACCCGCCTGTGGCCGCGTCCATTCAATAGCCCATTCAAACTCTCTTATGAAAGTGTCCAGTGCGGCAAGGTTCTGCCTGGCTAACTGAATGTTGCGCTCAAGTAAGTTATGCACAGTTGGCGTGCTGAGAGCAAGAGTCGCGACACTGTCGTCGAGCTGTCCAACGGAAATAATGGTGTAATCGCGAGCAGAGGCGCATGCTTCAATGATCTCCGGACTCCTCGACACAATCCATCCGAGACGAATACCCGCCAAGCTGAACGCCTTTGACATTGAGCCTGTGGCAACCACTTTGTCATATCCTAGCGAGAGAATAGACGGCGGGTTCTCGTGCTGGTCGGTATTGAGTGAATGGAATAGAGGCCGATACACCTCATCGCTGTGGATCATGATATTGTGCTCACGTGCTATATCAACGATACCCTGTAGTGTCTCACGCTTGAGAACAGCGCCTGTTGGATTCTGTGGATTGCTATATCGCCCATTAGAACATCTCTTGAGTAATATAATCTAACCGCCACCCACTTGATGATGATGAGTTTCGTATTCGTCTTGATTAATGATCTCAGATCTTCCAGATCTAGCTGCCAACCGGCGTCTTCCTTTGATCTCCAGAGATCCACCTCGGCTCCAATAGCCTCAGGAACAGAATACAGTTGTTGATAAGTCGGGTAGTGGCAAATGACATGATCCCCAGGCCCCACGTTTGTGTAGAGCGCAAGGAAGTTGGCCTGGATGGCACCATTTGTGACGAGGACGTTGTCTGGAGACAAGTGATCTGGAGATTCCGTGGTGTATAGTTGGGCAATGTTAGACCTCAACGCCTTCGATCCACGGATTGCGCCGTAGACTTGCTTCTGAGCGTAGTCTATGATGCTGGTTTGCTGACCAGATAAGGACGCGAGATCGTTGAGTGAGATTGATGCACAGCAAGTTTCTGCAAGATTGTACTTGGCATCATTCTCATAGTCGTCCATCCACTGTTCTTGGTCAGTATATGTGTGCCTTATCGTTGTCCTGGAGTGCCCACCCGCTCCACAGCGAATTCCTTGATCTTGACCATCTTGCTTGTATTCAATGGATATGCTAAAGGTCGGTTACAACAGATGAAAGAAGCGGGTTTAAGCGGCGTGCTATGGTGGCTTATATATCTTTGATGAGGATGTTCGCCCTTATGGAGCACGATTACAAACTCGGGTCTGATTGGACGGAACGCATACATTTCCGAATCCAGTTATACCGACTCCACTCCATCCAGCCAGCCCCAGTGATATATTACAAGCCATCTCCAACCACCACCACGTACCCTGGAACAGTTCCATTCGGCGAATAATTCTCAATTCACCCAAAATGCAGTCAGCGCCTCCACTTAATCTATCCCGCGGCTGGCCTGCGTCCGATCTGTTCCCTACTCAGATCCTACAAAATGCGGCAGTGTCTGTGTTGTCAAATCCCATCATCACAGGGCAAGGGCTCGGCTACGGCCCAGATGAAGGGCACTTCGAACTCAGAAGGAATATTGCGGACTGGCTGAGGAGGAATTATAGCCTCTCGAGAACAGTGGGTGCAGAACGGATCTGTATCTCTGGAGGTGCCAGTCAAAATCTGGCATGTGTGCTACAGGTTTTCACTGATCCCATGCATACGAGATACGTGTGGATGGTTGAACCAATCTACCACTTAGTATTTGGTATCTTCCAGGACGCCGGTTTCTACAACCGGCTCCGAGCCGTGCCCGAGGACGAGTGTGGCATAGATGTGGATTTTCTTGAGAAAGCTCTGCAGAAGAGTACCATAGATCATCAACATGTATAGACCCCATTTCTGATACTATCATATTGTACAAAGTGGCTGACACGCAGATAGGTGGCGGCTCCGGAACGTCCTTACCGGAAGACGTACACACATATCATCTACTGCGTTCCAACATTCTCTAATCCGTCCGGAACCACAATGCCGCTGTCGCGGCGCGAAGCCCTTGTGCGCCTCGCGCGCAAGTACGATGCTCTCATTATCAGCGACGATGTTTATGATTTCTTAAACTGGGAGCCAGCAGATGCCGCCGGTGGTGAGAGTACCCGTTTGCCGCGGATCATTGACGTGGACACATCTCTAGACGGAGGACCACCCGACCTGTTCGGAAACTGTGTCAGTAATGGCAGCTTTAGTAAGATCGTTGCGCCAGGATGTCGCGTTGGATGGGCGGAGGGGACGCCCGAGTTCATCCGTGACCTCTCTGCAGCGTAAGGTTTTTGTCTTTTCCATTTCCAAGATGATTTTAACAAAAGATTGCAGGGGCTCATCCCACTCTGGCGGTGCACCTTCACAGCTCATGTCGACCTTCATCAACGAAATGTTAGAGAACGGCTCTCTTGACAGACACCTACACGAAACGCTTCTGCCAGCGTATTCTCGGCGCGCTCGCGCTCTCACAGCGGCGATCAAGCAGCACCTTCTTCCACTTGGTGTGACCTTCATCTCTGACTCGGAGTCGTACACCGTACTGGGAGGTTACTTCATCTGGCTCAAGCTCCCGGCTCATCTCAACGCTAAGAGCATCACGGAAACAGCACTAAAGGAGCAGAATCTAGTCATTGCAGAGGGAGAGCTATTCGCTGTACCCGGGAATACCCTACCGGAAAATGAGTTGAACCATAGACTGAGGCTATGTTTTGCCTGGGAGAAGGAAGAGAAGCTCAACGAGGCGGTGGAGAGACTGAGCCGGGTTATACGGGGCGCACTATGCTGTACCTAACTATCCTTCATGAAGATATACATAGTAACTTGGAGTCATCTCGGGAAATTTCTAGCCCCTCACTCGAACACATAACTACGAGGGCCATGCATCCAGTACAGTACATTGTTACTCAACACCAATACGTAAAGAAGGTACCTTACAAATAGCAATAAATATCCACGCAAAGCACCGACCTCACAAAGTGGGCCACCCTTTCAGAATGGTGGACCTGGCATACAGTCAAAATAGTATCATTAGCGATCCCACCAATAGGGAGCATTTCACGGGTGGAATTGCCACGGCCGCTTCGATTAGCTTAGTGGGTCCATCTGGAAATGCCGGTATGTATTTTACCAGAATTGTGTATTACATACGATAACGCTCCAAGAGATATCCAACACAACTACGGAATATAGAATATCAAACTAGCAATTCCGAAGCAGGCCGCATCTGACATTGACGAATTAATCCCTCATAACCAGCGGGATGAACTATGACTCAAGAATGAAGCCGAATGCAACGAGGGACGATATTCGAGAATAAGCGGCTGGTATATCACATTCACACTATGAAGCAGGGTCGCGTTATATATTAGCATCATTATTTTTGCTAATATGGAATATGGAAGACTGGACAGTATTGGTTTTTTGGTGAGATGACTCAGTTTCTAGACGTGAAGGGGAATAATCAAGACTGGGATGGCAACATATGAAGTGACAAAAGTTCGCGGTAGAGCAGTTACTTGAGAAATACAGGAACTAGAATTAGGATAGTAGAGTCTATAAGCCTACCTAGACTACATATGGTTGTAGGGGCGCCTGTCAGGGAAGAGAGTCTCTACTGGTTCCTTAGGCCTGCACAGATATAGATGCCATAGCTTGGTCCGCGTAATGACGGAGCAGTGGTACACTGGTGGACGCCAAAATCTGTTGCTTCAATTTAACTATATAGAGTTTATCACATAATCTATCTAATCAAGGATAAAGGTGTGAAACTGGGGTTGGCGCTTGATCCAGCTTTTGAGAGAAGCCTGTGCGAGTGCAATGCGCCTGCAGATCCCATTTTTCGTCTCGACAACCATCAAATTGACACAGGGATCTCTGGTCACAAGCCTGTTTCCCGCCGAATCATACCAGTTTGCTGCCTTGTGGTCATATACTACTCCCCGACTATATTTATTCAGACCCTCGTACGGGATTGACAAAGCCAGCACATCGAACTCAGCACCCCAATTCCACCTGGGAATCTTCTTGAGTTGCTCCCAATTGATACTGTTGGGTATGAGCCACCCAACTGCATCATTGTATTTGTCGAGAAGTTTGGTATAGTTCCCAAAAGTTTCGTTTTCTCTGATCTGAAGACGCGTTGACTGGGTAAAAACCATAAGACATCCATCTGTACAAGCATCTTGCATTTGAATTGGAAATCTTGTCTCTTGTTCATGGGCAGGAAGATGCCCCCCTTGCATGGAATATGCTTCGTCAGTCATGCCGGCGAGTGATTTCCATCTCTGGCGGATGATGGCATCATATTGCTCCCATGTAGCTCCGCTGATAAGGCACTTTGGGAGTCTCCCAGGGAAACACCCCCATTTCCAGGCCATCAACACAGCAAGACGAGCCAGTAGGTGTCCTTGGCTGTCGGGGTCATCAGAATCGAAATCACCATCCAACTCATGTTCTTCTGTCGATGGGTTCGGGAGGATCTTCAATGATAATTGTTTATTCCTTGGCGGAATTACCCATTGGGCTAACGATGCAGAAATTTTAGCCTGTTCCAACATAGGATGGGGCAGTTGTATGATATTATCAATAGAGGACCACGACCATGAGGGAAATCTTTTGGGAATGCACGGTGGTCGCATGGGGTATCTCCCGTCTCTGATTCTCCAAAGAATGGCTCGACTGAAATCACTAAATGGCAGACCGTAATGATGCTCAACTCCATATGCAAAGTGCAAAATCCCCGAGAAGGCGTCAAGTATATCGGACTTATAGGTGAGATCCCTAGTCGTGAATTCGGATACTAGGCCATCATATGAAGACAGTGGAATTTGGGTTAGTGGGTAGTCAAGCCTTTGATCTCCATGGTCCTCGTCTTTATAATGAGACTTGCGATGGCATTGGTAGAAAACGCCTTGATCAGAAAAAACCAGGATTCTTGGGGAAAGTACTGACTCCTGAAATGTCCATCCTCGACTGCTCCATTTGGATTCTCTGGCCAGACAGGAGTAATCGTCAATTTCTTGTAACAGGTAAATACCCTGTGTCTGGCCTGTCCACTGAGGACATCGTTGCCGCCCTTGTGTGCCAGGAAGACCATAGCTAGCATCGCTTCCTGTCATCGCAATCAGGGTTAAATAGGACTGGTTATAGATAGTGCCCATCGCGTGGAGCTGGTTTGCTTTTTGGTCTGGCCTCTCATCTTGTAATATACATAGACGATCAACCCAAAGGAATGGTATCTGTAAGCTGGAGCAAGCATCGATTGCATCATCGATTGTTGCTGGTAAACAATTCTCTTTGGTAATTGACCCTTCTCTCTCCAGGTCTCTAATGTTTGTTGTAGTTGCTTGAAGGGAACTTTCGGTTTGACCCCAGACATAGCTTAATGCAGCGTATCGACATGGATGAACTGTGAGTACCACGCATCTCTTATTTACATCAATAACACGGAATTCTTGAACTGGTAATTGGCATACTTCGAGGCGACAAGGATCCTCATGATCGACATGATTGTCACACTCCCAGAGCCAGGAAGAGACTGCATTCCAGTTTACCTGTGGCTGCGGCCTTTGTAAAGATATCAGATTCTTGCCTGACGCAAAGCTAGTAGTTGCAAAGAATCTTGGCTTTTCTGGAATGCACAAGCCATTAGCCTTGTCAGCTCAATAACAAACGGACTATGAGAAGTTTATCCTTAAGAGTTCCAGCATACTTATCCGACGTCGAGAGAAAAATTTCTGCAAGCACAGCTCAATCACAAAGTCATACTCAATCCCTCGGATCTCCCCAGGCGTCAGTTGTAGTGAAAGTCCTATTGGGTCGTTTCTAACAGGTTGATCCGCAAACACAGACGCGTGGCTAATAAAGGTTCGGCAGGTCTGACAGGATGTGGATCGGGTTTGTACTTCACCGAAGTTCCCAAGACTGAATTGCACCACAGTCTCTTCCAGGGAGAATGAATATGGGAAGTAGGTGTTTTCAGGTGCTGTTGCTTCTGAGCGGATTCCAGGGAGGACACATCTCAGAAGATGTTTCAGTCTCATGTGCTTACAAGGCTGATAGAGAATCTATATCAATATCCAAGCATTCGCAACAATCGTCATGGAAGAATCGTTTCAAGTCATCATCAGAGAAAGGACGGTCGAGTTTTAAACGCTTGGAACGGGTTTCGAGCCTCATGAACCACCCATATGTATCATAACATAGAGAACATGGCTCTTTGCTACGTTCTTCATCGCTGTGAGACAGTCGAGAGCTGTGACCATTGAGCGACATTCCAATGCTTGAGACTAGCCAGTGCGCGTCAAGAGATGGAAGATTGGAAGATTTTCCAGAGTCAAAATATCCATGTCGGCCTAGAAGCAATGGAAACAGCTGGCATCATTTGGCTGGCTGAGCTCAGGCAGCCAACATGCAGCACTTTTGGGTGTAAACAAACTGCCCCTCTTGCCAAGAAATCTGATACACCATGGGCTTCAAATGCTTCAAGTTGAACAAGTACACCAGTGGCCATCCATATCCTATTCTTCGTTGTGTGCAATTGTATGTCGAAACTTCACTGAGATCCTTTACTCGCCTATAACAGTGTTTCATTGTCTTACAATATCCCGGCGCTTCTGTATTGGAGAGAAGGACCACCGATGGTACATGGACATTGACAGCAATGAAGAAGGACCGATATACTCCAGATTTTCTCCCAGGTGGGCAATTTCCAATAACTGCTACAACAAGTATGGGAAGCTCTGTGTACTTGGTGGGCTATAAACGCCTTTGGTGAAGGAGCTAGTGGGCTCTGCTTCGTTTTGTTTCTCTGACCAGTGGGGATAGTCAAATTGAACTGATTTGGTACGATGTGTCTGGATTGTATGGAGAGAATTGAGATACATTGTCTCAATTACAGCTAAACTAGAGGTTCTGGTTTCTGAACTTCTGATTGAACCGAGACACAGGGATGTAGGTGTCAGATAATATATCATGGCTATATACGCTCTTAACCCATATGGTCTCCAAGTATTCCCACACTGGCTGTAAGTAAGCTCCCAAGATTTAGCAGGTTTTATACAACAGCTGATCAATGCGAGAAGAGGCGAGAGAGAGCATATGGGAACACAGAACATAGGATAGGAACTGACTTACTCCAGTAAAGCTCTTTTTTTCTCGCTTGATATAGCTATTGGTCGTGACATACGTAAGCTGCACCTGTGGCATCAACAACCAAAGCAGTTTGTAAACGGGTTAGCATGTTGCCATGTTGTCTTCTATTTATTCGTTGCATGTTTGGAGAGAAAGATAACTTAACCAAATGCTATATTCAGATTCCTTCTGAGTTGATCGTTCGTAGAGGATGACGCGACTGCAAAAGCCGAGGGTGCCAGAAGTCGTCAATACGGGGAGGAACGGGAGGGCAAGGATGATTGGTAATCATCCAATCACCTAGTAAGTTATGCCAGTAGTAGTTATGGTTCTCAGGAGAATTAAGGTTCCACATAAATCTGATTACCAATTACTATGGAACACGCAAAAGGGGCTGCTTCTATTGGTGGAAGCCGTTGTACCATATTAATCATACTGCTATTTCTGCCATTGTCTAATTATATTATATTATTTCTTTCCTCTTTTCCTGGCACCGATCCCGATTCTCATATTGAAAGCAAGGTAACATAGTTGACTGCAATGTGTAAACCCACAATAAGACTGCTATCGTGCGGGTGTGAGTCCATCGGCTGCCATTGTTCGAACCGCTCTGTCTCTGAGATTCTCGATGCTCCACTGCCATGTATCGTTTGGGCTTCGCCCAGGGGGCACCGGGATGCCAGGCGGATAGAAGTCCCCCCGGCGGAACGTGACGAATTGGAGGTTGCTTGCATGTCTGGGAGCAGGAAATACTTCCTATAATATAAAATACCGGTTAGCTGCTTCCTAAACAGTCAAGTTATTATAACGATTTGTAGTAGTTATTACTCACGACACGGGTTGGGGGTTCACCACGGCGCCAGATCTCTACATATCCTGCCACTTTATTGTTCACACGCCTATTCCATTTGAGTAAAAGGACAACGTTGACAGTTGCCATTGAATCGAACCATAGTTGGCGGTCTAGCTTCAGTCGTGGCCAAGATCCCGAATATCCCGTTTCTACTATTACAGTAGGCACATCTCGAGCTTGTTGTAGCCCGTGGACAAAAGCAAGGTCCGGTTCCTTGTAGACATTCTGGTAAGGGGGGGGGGAAAGAATCGTATCCTATATATAAAAAGTAAGCAGAGATTAGTTATAAAGAATATCAATTTTCTTACGGGGGGTTCCTGTAAACGTAATGGGGACAAGTTCCGGGATTGTCCAGAACCCGTTGATGCCGGCTATAGTCAACTCGTTGGCCACCCAATTTGTGATCACCTGGTGGGTTTCTGAAGGCATGTTTATCTCCAAGCTCATACTGAATGGGTCATAATTGATCTGGACACTCTTCGCCTCTACTTGCCCATCCTCCGAGAGACTCCTGGCGAGTAGAATGCCCACTTCAGGGGGCAGTTGCTCTCGGGTGAGGCGTGAGGGCCCGTTGCTCGCAAGGATTTCGCTTTTCAGGGAATAAAAATGCTGCTGTGGGGTCACAGATTGCCGACTCTTCGCACTGCTACGCAGCACGCGGGTAGACGAGGCTTGTGGTTCTTGGATCGTAAGATGGATTTCCTGGGGGTCGGAGAGTTCTTCGGATCGGGCTCGTAGAATAGACATGGTGATAATAGTGGTGGAGAAAAGAGGAAGGAAGGCGGAAAGACAAGTAAAGTCAAGTGAACAATCACGTGGAGTATCACTGAGAGAGATGGAAATCAGACTACAGCTAAGAAATCTTCGTTAGGAAGTCGGAGGATGCAAGATAAGAGCTGTTGCGACGTGCGCAGAACGGTTAATATATCAGATTCAGGTGCCATGGTTACGACAACAGGTCTACGGCATTATGACTAAGTTTCCCGAATTCCAATTCCCGTACATTACGAACCATTCTATCTCACAATAGAATCTGACACGGTAGGAGACACCGATTCAGCGCCGGTATCAACTATCGTTGAAGGATTGTCGAAAGCGTTAACTTTGATCGAGACAACGGAGACAAGTAGTTATCGAGCCAGAACCTCCGAAAGTCGCTACCAGCAGCGATCGCTCGACCCAGACAGTGACTTCGGTTATGCAGCAATCACCGGTATATGTTGTATGCGATATTAAACCGACAGACAACAACATGGACGGGAATCGTCCCAACGGAGGTGATAACGATGGCGAAGAAGCCGTACCTTTCTCAGAGGCGCAAAGGTCCGCCCTACGGATGGTGATGGCCTAAGCTATAGAGAATGGATACAAGGAGAAAGAAGAAGACAAAACGTGGAGCAATATTGTTGTGACTGGCTCATGGTGTAGGCTTGAATGGCACCTCGCATCATAAATGCAGAGAATATTGAATGTTGGCGCCCTACTAGAAGACTGTATTTTGTTGATCATTAGACTAGAGCTCTATAGTTCTGGACGGGTTCGTTGTTCGCATGTCGTCGTCTTCGCTCGCTCGTTCCATGGAATAAATTTGTCATCACCAGAATGACTAAGCAAATCAAACTCATCTCGGCCACCACACCTGATCGAATCTGATTAAGCAAACGGTGTGTGCCAAAACGCGAATCGTTCTCCTTGTTACACCTTTCTCACTGTGAATATCAAGTACAAAAACCGGTATGCGCTCTACAGCCGTGAGAAAACCACGCTCAAGACGCCCAGCACGCGGTAGGCAAACCAGGAGAGCTGGTCTCCGAGCTAGCTCCGCGGAACCCGAACAGGCTGGAGTTATCAACCAGGAACAGAGCCAGGTCGACCGTTCCAACGTGCCTACATCTCAATCACGCATATCCTGGCCAGACACCTTAGCTGCCCTTGAAAAGGAGCCACTGGATTCCCAAATACGCAGACACAAAGAATGGAAACGTAAGAAAGTTTTTGCTCCTCGCACAGGCTGATAACCAGCACCAATGATAACAACCGTGTATCAGGAAACGGGTCAACCCATGAGGATTACTGTCGTGTATGCTGGAAGTCGGATCGACTCGAACCTTGCATGACCTGCCGACTGGCACTTCATAGCGAGTGCATGCCCGCTGGGTGGCTGCGGGACTCCGAAAACCAACTCTTTTGCGTCGCGTGCGTCCGTCGCGGCTGGCATACAGATCCTCCTGCGCTTACACCACCTGCTTCGCCAAGATTGGCAGAGGTACATTGCGGTCCTGCTACAGGCGTTCCGGCGGTAGAGCTTGACAGTATTTCGCTGTCAAATCCGCAGTCTCATGCTGCACCCCTGCACGGACATCCACTGGCATCCTCGACGCATGAATGGAGCAACAATAGTAGACAGGATATACCAGCCACTGATCCAGTCCGGGAAGCCTCATCCAACAATGACGATATAGATGTAAGCGGGAATACACAGCCCGGAGTCTCCCAGCCGCCCCGACGCCAGCGAAAATCTCGGTACATGAGCCTGCCCAGCGAGATCGATGCATCGCTCAATGTGCTATACCGAGAACTTGAATCAAGTGCAGCACTGAGGCTCGAAATTGAGAGCCTACGTAATGAAAATGCCCGATGCGTTCAGACAATCCAGATTCGCGACCTCAGTCTGATGGCTCTTCGCCGGGAGCTAGAACATCGGCGATTCTCGGAACAAGAGCTTGAAAGACTGCAAGCGAATGCGGCGCAACTCGAAAATGCAAACAAGGAGCTTCAAGAACTTCGAGCAAAGAATGAATCTCTAGAAGCAGAGCTGCAGATTTCAAGAGAATCGGCGAAGGAAGCCAAAGCCATGGTGGATGATTGGAAGGCGAAATTAGCTGTGCTGATCGGTAATTGATTTTCTTCCTTCTCTCCTCGTCTCTGGCACTCGAGTGCTATTCTCTTGGATTGAATACATTAAGCGAGATTTTTGGTTACTTGTCATTGGATTGTTATGGCGAGTTTGGTATTGAGCATCTAGTTTTTATTTTGATATATTGTTTATCACTGTACTATATATACCATGTCAGGCCCCTCTGTTTATAGACTTCATTACATATCCAAGCACATTTATCATATTCTTCTCATGGACTATAGGGTATAAGTTGCCACGGAGTTGGTTCGATCAACAACATTACAATATGTCCGGGCCACCTACGTTTGTCGTGACCCTGCCATCACATCTCGGCAGCGAGGAGCAAGTCGTGATAAGATTCAAGCCCGGCATAAAGCATGGCAAACCACCACCAATCACGCCTTTACATTCCACTTCCAGCCAACTTTCGCCACCCGCGCAGCAACAGCCGCAAAAGCACCTAGTACGATACAGACGCCGGCGAAAACCTGCGCGCCCACATAACTTCCCCCGGCACGGGTAATCAAAGCGCCCTCGATGGCGGGCCCAGTCAAGGTGGCAAAGCCAACAATACTGAGGATCATGCCGAGTCGTGTGCCCGTTCGCTTGATATCCGGGGTCATGGTGGTCGCCGTGGCTGGAAAGAGGGACTGTGCTGCTCCACCGACCAACCCATACACGACGGTGAAGGCGTACAAGCCGGCGACTGTGTCTACGGCGATCCAGCAGAAGATCACGATCGCCGAGGCGAAGCTGAAGGGGATCAGGAGGTTCAGCTTGCCCGTCCATCGGTCGCCGATTATACTGGGCACGATCCGTCCGACGATACCGACGCCGTTTAGCACGAGGACTAGGTTCTGGGTATCTGTGAGGCCGAGACAATCCCGGGCGAAAGTGCCAATGTAGAAAAATGCGAAATAGAGACCCCAGAAATTGAGGAACTTGCTGATGGTGAAAAACAGGAAGGGGGGCTCGGAGAAGGCCCCCCACTCTATCAGAGGGCCTGTTGTCCGAGGCGGAAGACGAGGCCTGAAGAGGATCATTGCTGAAGTCTGGGTGACCAGCATGATAAGACCTGCGGCACGAATTGTCCATCCGAAGCCAATGCCGTGGTTATATAGTAGTTGGTTTATAAGTACGGGGTAGATTAATCCTCCTGTTGCTGCCCCAGCAGCAGCTAGGCCTACTGCAAAGGTGCGTTTTTCCATAAAATAAGAAGACATAACCGAGAGTCCCGGGCTGAACGTGAGGCCGTTTCCCAGTCCCATGCACACAGCTTGGGTGAGAAAGATCTGCCAGTATGTCTTGCAGAGAGAGAGCATGAATATTCCCACCAGCTGGAGGAGCACCCCGAGTGAGTAGACCTGGCGGAAGTAACCCGCATCTGTTGCACGACCGGCAAAAGCACCCACGAAGAAAAGAAGGGAGACTTGGACGCTTCCGATCCACGAGATCGTGGAGGCTGATTGCGGCAGTGTTTGGGTGTATAGTTGCTGAAAGACCGAAAAGCTGTTACTGACTCCCCAGGAATTGAAGAACACGAGATGGCCGCATAAGACCTGAATCCAAGCTTGCAGTCCCCCGTCCGGTGGTGGAGGCAGATTTTCAGACCCGTTTAGGTCGTCTGGGCGAGATATGTCCTGCCATCTTTCCTTGACCCACTGCATTTTAGGATCAGGAAGATATTCGTGTACCTAATGTAGACAACGCTTAGGGGAAGCAAGAGCAAAAATATGGGGAGACACGGGGATTCTCTGAAGAAAGCAACAGAAGATACAGAAACCACTGTCATCTACAGTCCGGCTCCAGAGCCAAAGAGCCACAGTTAGGGGAGTGGGCCTCTTCCAGAGGGCCTCTGACCGAGGCCACACATGGAAACAGATGCAGAGGTGACAATTGGTGGAGTTTCCAGTGTGGACATGCTTTTCGATAGTGGTCAGGTAATGTTCGTCACCGTGCTCTTGAGTTTATGCTTACCAACTCAGCAGGTATTGATACAGACCCACCTGCATTGTCGCTTGGTTCCTCGGCTACGCGGCGAAACGATATTGAACAGAGTCGTAGACTCGTAGTTGAGACTGCCTGGAACTGAGAAATGAAATTTTACTTATACAAATTAGAATAAAAACAAATTTGTCAATGACAGGCAAAGAGAAGCTACCTAAGCTGTACGACTTCGCAAGGGTTGGTTGGTTACCAGTACCACTCTGTAGTCGTGCTATTGATTACCAATCACGGTTTCGGCTTGGCATGTCCTCGGTTAGACTCAACGAAACCTCCCTTACCATCCTGTTACAGAGCTGTAGTACTAAGTACTAGTACGATCCAAGGGAATCGTAACAGCGGGGATGATTGGTAATCAATCATTGGCATGCAATCAAGACAGCGTGACCAACGGCTCCCCGCAGCAATACGGCCAACGCTTACCAATCAGCCGGATTCAAGATCCGCATGTAACCCACTCATTGCCAGAGGGAATAATGGCCAAAAGATGTATGACCAGTATATTGTTGCACTGCTGCACTGTCGAGGTTTGATATTGGAAAGAGAGGTAATAAGCACTTAAAAGGCAACATACCCTCTTGGTTCGGAGATCAAGAGTGGAAGAAATGCTTTATCAAATGCAAGTGGTGGTGATCAGCTTGCGCGTTGTGGGTGTATGATGCTTCGAGGGATAGAAAAGATGTTCCTTAAAGAATCGAACAGTTGCGTAGGAAATTTCCCTCCGTGAGTGTGCATTTCCTGAGGAACACTTGGCTATGGAGCCTAGCTCTCCCCTCTACCCTCAGGTGAAATGAGTAGCAAAAGAATCACCAAATGACACCCGCACACACAATCGGGTGGTATCACACATGAGCCCACCCATTCCCCACAAGAACCTGCATCTCGTTGATTAAACAAAATGTAGCAGGCTCCAACCGAGTGTCGTCGTGTCTCTCCCAACTGGTGGTGGTTCTTCGAATGGCCCATCTTTGGAAGAACAGACTCGTGGTCCAGCGTCGAATCCGGTTCTCCCAAAGGGCCAGGGCGATATTGTGTAGCGAGATCCACGTCGTAGTAGGATGAACGGCCGCGTATGCCAGGTCGGTATAACCAACACGAACTTTAGGATTCAAATAGACGCCTTTCGTTGGGGAAAGAGGATTATCTGCGTGGATTAAGCAACATTCGGAGCCCTCCAGATGGAACTGCGCAAGAGAATCGGGTATTGCACGGAATCGCAACGGTACTTTTGATAAAAATGGGGTTGCTGACATGGCTACTATGATAGTGTATGGTCAGTTCATTGTCCTTCAAAATGAATAAGAAAGAAAGAAAGAAAGAGATGCGTGCCCATGCCGTTCCAGCAACTCTTCACAGGTACTGGAGACATCGCGAGCAGTGCATTCCGCGAAATTGCGCTGCGGAAATAAGGCCATTCTTGCATCAAAGTCTCATCCCCGTTAGAATCACGTAGCGCAAATGTGTCGTAGTAGCGAGGAGGCTTGGAGAAGTCTAAAGCACAAGCGGCGGCGTAAACACCGTCGTTTGTATCGAGTAACGAGATCACATCATCCACCTGTGTCGGCAGTCAATAAGCTTATATACAATTCTCGTGCAAATTGAGACGCATACCATGAAGACCACATCATTTAGAAAAAGCACTTTGTCGAATACTATGTCGTTCCGTGCCAGATCCTCCAACGGACGTAAGGTTAGATTGCGCAGCCGAGCAAGATACGGTATGCGTCTCAATTCCTTTCGGCCACGGGGAGTGTCAATCCAACCATCGCCCGGAGAAGCTGAGATCTCGTCTTGATGAGTTGTCTCAGAAAGTGTAAGATTTCGCCGTACGCCTAATCGATCCAACTCGAGATCAAGTTCCCGCAGCGCGCCCTTGGTGTCGTCCCAGCTCCCGCTTTCATGAATGCTCACGAAAACGTTCTCCGGGCCCCATGTTTTTACTAGTTGAACAATTGCATTGTTCCAATGGCTCCGGAGGATAGCCTCATTGTTCCAGTGCGTACTGGCAATAAAGATCCGCTCGAACTGGTGTGGCGGAGTGGATGGAATCCGATCGACGGCGGAGATCCGGTGCTGAATGAAAAGCACCTCCAACACAGTCCAGACTATGAAACATATGGACAAACCCAAGAGAGCGCGGCGGTAGATTCCAGGTTTGCGAACAAGTCTATAACGTGTGAAATGGACGAGCATAGCTAGAATTTCGAATTGTTAGAAGCATATAAACACATCTATCTGCCAATTCAGGAAATTTGCAGAGGAGGCCCAGCGAAGTCTAGCAAACGTCATTAGCGAAGAAACCCGGCCAAATGCAACTGTAGGTTCTGGCCTAGGTCACCTCCATGGTGGCATCTTGGCATATGCGCCTTTTCATATTGGGCAACGTGGCGCTGTGGTGGATTTTTGTGGCATAGTTTAAAGGCGCTAGGGTACTGAAGAGTGACAGGCCATTTTTCTGTAGGTCTAAGACATTGGCATACTAGCGTAGCCCCACGTACTATAGGCTATACTCTCTGGAGGATACTTGATCCTATGGGGATGCGCTTGACCCCCGTTGGCTCCGTAGTAATGGTGTGGCCTCTTGAATGCGACTCTACTTCTTCCCAAGTATTTGTATTTACTAAAGACTGATTGAATACTGACCAACCCTAAATTGGTGCTTCTAAAGTCATCTCTCTGGAACAGATGTGAGTTGATCACTTGTACAGAGCTAAAGCAGATATCCGCCTGAAACGACTCTTGGACGTCTAAAGCAGGACTGCAGGAGTTAAATCTAAGCATATCTGTGTCCTGGTACTCAACTAGATATTCCTCTATCAGACAGCCAGCCGTTCTGGATCTTGTAGCCTTGCTAGCTCTAACATTAGTCGATACATATAGATGGTCAGATCAACATCACGGAAGGCTTTCGCAAACCAGTCACGACCTTGCTCCGCGATTTCTCGAGCCCTTCTCTGCCCAGCCTCGGTGGAGGTAAGGTACCGAACTATCTCAGGAAGCTCTTCCATACTTAGACTAACTGGAACATAATGAACCCATGGCCTGAGACGTTCATCGTGCCACTCCCGTAACAAGGTCTGCTTCAATGGAACTGACTTTGAAGCAAGAAGCTTATAGTACCGGCCGCTGATACCGTTTCCATCTATATCAAACACAAGCCGTGACCGAAGGGGTTGGTCTTTATCTGCCCACGACTTTAACCTAAAGTATGCACGCTGATCCCTGCAGTATTTTCGCTCGCATTGGAATATTCGAGTGAAAGCCACATCGAATAATCGGCCGGTAATGAATAACGACGATTTTATTTGACTGATAATTCCACCATGTTCCTGGAGATAAGTATACTGATGCCGTTCTAGGTTCTGTGCCAGCTGAACGAATCTTTGTCGATGGTAGTACTGCCACTTCTCATCCACAGCAAAGCCGCCAGTGGTAGAGCCTGCCCAGTACAGGTTGTTCTGCTTTCTCTCCCAGTCAACGTCGTGGGTATCGTGGGTATATTTGAACTCAGGCTCATTATAAGCTGGGCTGGGATATAGGATATCACCCATAGTCGAAAGAGAGCCCGTTGAAAGGATCGGTACTGCACCCTCAAATAGATAAAAAGATGTAGGGCTGGTGATAAGACCATGCATGGCACTATACTCGGGATGCTGGCAGAGATCGATGGCCAGTGCGGGATCGACCACGAAGGGCAGGGTAGGCTTTTCCGTCGTGTGAATACGAGTAGTCTGGGCCCTTTGTGTTTTCCGGGAGGAGCAGGACTTCGTAACGATCTCCCATACTGGCCGTCTTGACAGATTGGTCAAGTTGAAGTGTTGACTGAGGAGGTCATCTTCTCCTAGCGATTGTGGGGGTATCAGGACTCTTGGTTCATCGAGATGATTGATAAGAAATTGGACGTCAGGAAGGACACCGTGCAGGTCTTTCAAGAGGTGATCAAGTGAGGATTGTATGTGTCTGTCAAAAGTGCGGCCAGGATGGCTGCAGTGAGTCTTCGCCTGCTGACCAGAAAACGTACAGAACCACAGTTCGCTGTGCAGCATGCGCATATTTTGTATATCATCCATCATATCACGAATATATTGACCCTTCAATTGCCAGAACGGTGAGATGGCTTCATAGAGGTTATCAAACTCGTCAATCATGGGCGATTGATGCCGTTTGGCAAACTCATACCAGCCTTCAAAGCCAGGCGGCGGTTCTATGCCGTATCGCCGTCGGTATTCGTTATAAGCGGCCGTATAATTTGGGGATTGGTTTCGGAGTATACTGTCGAAGTCCGCCTGGGCGGTGCGAATGAAAGCTTCGATAGGATGCTGTCCAGAGGAGACCATGGACGACTGTGCAATTCTGAAAGTGTCGGTAAGGTATGGAATAAGAGATATAAGAGAAAAGGCTGCGAGAGCCGTTCGGGATTTTGTTTGCCATGGGAGCATATAGATAACCTGGCCGAGTGTCAGGAGCGACGCTATGATATGTAAGAAAGCCTGGGTATCCGAAGGCAGCATCAATAGATTTCTTGTGGATATAACACTGAACATTCTTATGGCAGTGACAGTACGCCAGGAACAATGTCGAGTCTACTGCAATGGTAAGTACTGCTTAGATCCATTCATGACGAATGCAACATACTATCTTAGCGTAGAAATACCAAGTCAAAGCTTTTACGAAACCCAATATGGATACGGTTGTAGGATCAATGCCTCTAGGGAGGCCAAACGCGACTGTCTCGGCACCCAATATCATGACCAAAAGGCTCACAACGCGCAACGCAAGGGGACGAATTGCATCCTCAAGATCAAGGAAAGGGAGAAACTGAGAGTTTCGCCTCTGCGAAAGAGTAACATAGGCACCTAGTAAAGCAACAACTGGAATAGCCGAGAGAAAATACCCTTGAAACTCCCAATCTGCCAAAGTGAGAATAAGAAACGAAGCAGCGGCAGCTGTACCCCATACTGTGTTGATAAAAGGAGCAAAGTACTGTGGGTTGGATGCTGTAGAATCACCGAACTCAGAACCAAGATACCTCTCCGCTATCAGAAGTAGCGGTGTCAATACTGGCTATTCGTGATCAGCCTCGAAGCCAGCTCCCTTTCCTGTGGCAGAAGGGTTTACTTACAAAGACTCCAACCAACCCATTCTCTGCTTGGTAAACACAAAACGTGGAAATACCTAACGCAACGAACCATAATGACTTTGCAGGCTGAGGCTGGAGTGCTGGTTCGCTAAAGGGAGCTCTCGTCTGGACCTTGTTAGCCTTTAGTCGTCCTAACAGCTTAAACATAGCCGGCAGCATCATCCAGGCTAGGATTTCCGAGTACAGTTCCGATTGCCTGGTGCTTAGACGAGCCGTCCATAAGCTGCACAGCAGGGCTGCCCCGGCTGCCCTGGTGAGCATCCCGATGTGGTGGAATGGTCGTGTTCGCATAGTGTGCTTTGGATTCCATCAGTAGTCAAAGGCTGTTAAGAGGAATAATCACGAGTGAATTGAACTTGTTAGTACTTGACGCCCAAGGTTAGAGTCTTCTGGCAGCAGGCTCATCGGACGCCACTGGCAACTAGGATGAGAAACCCAGCTGGCGGTTGCCAGGCAGAGAGGTCACATACAGAAGGGCTGTAAGTGTTGCCTGACCCAGTCGGACAAAGCGCCAAGGGACTTTCGTTTTTTCTATTATCATTCCCGGTATTGAATGAGGTGGATCCCACTACGACTTTCCTGGAGATTCCAAAGGCTCGTTGCCACTGGGGATTATGGTCGAGACCGAGTCGCCGACTATGGATTATCCACTAACAATAGCGCTAGTAGGGGTGCGAAGAGAAACTCGGCAGAAGAAACCCATCCACCTGGCCAAATACGACCAGGAGTACAGTCCGTGTGAGTTCAATTGAGTCTAGGTGGTTTCAAATTTGTCATAAGAAGGCTTGTAGTATACAGGGCTCAAATAAGCACAGGGATCTACTACGCAGTTAGGGCAGGCTTTTATACCACAACCAGAATAGATTTAGATTGATCTAGCCTGTAAAAGGCCCGAAAAACCGCTACTAGACCCGATTAGATAAAGCATTATTTGATTATCAAGTATCTTATCTAACTAGATTTAGACTAGAGCTCCAAGTTAGTTCTCTATATCATATTGGTATTTTATATATTGGAAGAGATATAGCCTCCATTTAGCCGCCATAGGCCCGGACGTGCCGGTGCATTCAATAGCCAATTGGAATTGAATTGTCTTGTCCGGCATCACGTGTCGGTTTATTTCATCGCGAATTTGATACGGACATACCACACTCTACTAGTATATCAGGGACAAGCACGTTCAGGAGGTGATGGTGGACAGTGTACCAGGCAACACCAGGTTCAACCTGTGGCAGCGCATAGGGACTACGGAGCGTGCGGCGAGAAACAATCTTTCCGGATAAATGAGAATCTGAGGTACATTGCGAAAAGCGACTCTTGGTCATGATGTCTCAGCTTGGCAGGAGAGGCTTGATGACCCTTGCCATCTACTAAACAAAAGAAGGCATATTCTAGCGAGTGAAGAGCACACTGCATCTTGGATACATCGCTCCATAATACATTCCCTGCGCCATAGATTAACAAAAACTGCAGAGGGGCGGCCAATGCAAGATACGAGGCCAGCTATTCGAAGGGGGCTCACGATGGATCTCATGTCTGGCGTGACTATGGCTGCTTATGCGGGCTAACAACTTCCTGTTGCAATATAGAACCAATTCTATAGTCGTCTATGGTGGTGGCATGGTTGGGGCCATTCTGTAGACCAAGGACCCGAAAATTCCTGTTCCAACAGCTATATATAAGGGGCCCTTCGCGTCTCCTGCAGCTCTCTCAATATAGCTCTCCATCCTCATCAATCGTTAGTCTTTCACGCAACTTCAGAAGTTCTCTAGAACGCTCAAGCCTTTCATAGCCAATCCTATTGCCCATTTCAAAGTCCTTCAAGATGCAGTTCTCCTCTATTTTCACCATTACAGTTGCCGCCATGCTGTCTGCTCCTGCTCTGGCTTGCAAGTGCTATGTGAATGGCCACCAGGATACCGGTAGAACCAGATCATGCTGCAACTCGCTCAGCGGTGTTTTCCGGGGCGGCAATGACTGCCTTGCTAGCTCTATCTCGGAACGCCTTTCAAATTTCCGACGATGCTGTGGTGGTCAATCAGATTGTGACTACCCCCACCTTGCTCAAGCTGCAGATGGGCTGGAAGTCCAGGAATTGGATCACATAAAGACCATCGTTGTTCCTGCTGCTCCTACCCCTGCTGTCGAGAAATAGCTCAACTTCGATTAAGGCAGCCCCCCTTCGTCTCTAAGACGTTACCCGCGTTCACCAATCAACCTCGATCAACCTTAGAACGAGGGCGTTTTACGAAGTTCGAATGCTTCGGCGTACATCCGTGAGGCCTCATTGTATTTCCTGTGGAACACCTGGCGAGACATTACGTCGAAAATCCAGAAAAAAAGAAAGAAAGAAGTAAGGTGGGGGGGGTTATGAAAAATGATGCCAATGTCCCAATACGATTACTATTGCTATTGCCCTAGGCTTCAATGGATGGTACTGGCAACATGCCCTATACATGCGAGACTTTTCTGTCACATATGCAAATTTCAAACTTGGTCATTCTTTCATCGAGAGGTAGCGCATAAATAAAGTAGGAGTAGTAGGATCACAGGTACTTTGGTCATGCTATAATGCTAGCCTCATCACATCCTTTGCTGGCTTAGAGAAGATTCGACATATCCTTTTCCTGGTCGGTATATTGGGCACTTCTTAATTCTTGCCCTTCTCTGTCTTAGGAACAACGTAGAAGACAGGTACTAGGAAAGCTATCAAATCTATAGTCCTTCTAGAATCTATCCTAGTTTAAGTGAGAATTTGTTTGCTTTTGATAACAATCTCGTCGTATATTAGTAGTATGTGGGACTAACACTCGGGAGAGGAGGGACTGCTCATCCATTTAGAGTGTGGATAGGTATCGCTCTGGCAACAATGTCCCCGGGGAATGATTTAGCTTGTAGGGAGAGAAGTGAGGAGGTAGACCGAGGGGCATCATTTCCTTGGGATAAAGTAAAGAGTGGCTAGGAAGAGAAGTCTGGCTTTGGGGGAGATAGCGTTGTAGCAGATGTATGTACATATAAGAAGGAGGCTTGTTGCTTCGATAGTGTACGAGGTCTCGAGTAAAAAGCCTGATTATACTATCATTAGTATAATATCTCTATTTACTATCAAGAATCACCCTTTGTCCTGTTCACCTGGAACTGTAAAGAAATATCAAAGGAAATCGAACCGAATTCAGATTACCCCAGGGAAAAAGTGTGCGGGATCCCATCATGTGGTATTATAGTTGATTGAAGTGAATGGGCTCCTTCGTACATATTATTCACATCTACCACAAATAGGTCACTCTAAGACTAAAATCAGTTGAGACTGGTTAAAAGCCTGTCCTTAATCCAGTGGTGAGTAGTGGCCAAGTCATCCCGAGTCTGACCACCGAAGACTACCGAGGCCATAGAGCCTGCGTCGAGATCTCCATCGCAAGGGTAACGATGATCTGTCCCGACTCGATCTTGGCAGATAGAATGTCGTAGATCCTCGAGGCAGGGCCAGCAAATGACACGGTGTCAACTTGAGCCAGTGGCAAACCAAGTGACAGAAAATGTTTTGAGAAAAGACTCAACGCGATGCCTCCAGCCATGCGAGCATTCAAATCCACCACCAGTGGTCGGTCATGATCATCAAAGATGACATCGATGCCCACCCATCCGATATACGAAGACTGTCAGAGTGTGTGCGCCACCGCGGAAATCGTGTCTCTGAGTGTCTGCTCCAGGTCGCCTTGCTCGTTATAATCAATGATTCCTCCTACCCAAGCGCCATCCTTGGTGCTAACCTGCTCCGTGGCACCCAAGAACTGTGTCTCTGTGGCTTCGCCGTTACCCATAAAGAAATTCACCCCGTAATGAGGTCTCTTGGAGTGGACCAACTCCGAAACCTGAACTTCGTCTCCTCCTCGTGTGGCGTAGCGGCTCACGGCGTGAAGCATCTTATGCCGGGCGTCCTCCGTGGCCACCATGAATGTTCCTTGTCCAGAGCTGCAGCGGCAGAACTTGACCACAAACGGCAGGGGACGGCTGGCCAGGTACGCTTGCTGCTCTGGCTGCGCCAGTTGGATGAGTTCCATCGTTGGGGTTGGGATTCCTGGATGGGTAAGAAATCGCTTGTCATTCAATTCGTATGAGACTTCGGGTGCCACCAAGCAGGATTCCTTTGACATCCAGGACTTAGGCCGCCAGTACACCAGCTTCCTGCCTTCCAAGGCAGACTGGCGGTCCGCTTCGAAGTCCGAGCTGTCCAAATCAATGTACTGAACAATGGGCCGCTGCCATTCAGGAAACTGCTTCAGTGCCCGCTCGATGTTGACCCTCGCATTTCGAGGCACATGGAGGAGGGCGAGGCCTGGCCCGACCATGGGCAGGAAGCGGAGTGTTTTGAAACATAGAGCCCATTGTCTGAACCGCTCGACGTTTCCGTCGCCATTGTAATAGACCTCCGGGTCCTCATCTTCGGCAAACCGCGACTCGCGCAGAAAGTGGTCGTGGAGGTCGATATGGGTATAGGTGTGGTACAGGTCGACAGCCAGGGGCCATTGAACGCCATTTGTGGCGTGAAGGTCGGCCACCGTTGTGTCTAATTCAACCAGCTTCATACTGCCCAGGGGAGGATGGAATCAATCAGGTAAATATCTCAGATGATGGTGGTGCCTGCTTAGAGTCCATGCCTTTCAGCGTCATTTGAAGAAGGATATTGCTTTATAGCGATAACGCGACCGCCATTTGCATAACTTGGAAATGTGGTGAATGTCGTCGTCATCTTTGCACTGCCCAAGCATTTCACTGTCTCCAAGTTTGAAACCGCCCACTCATTTGCATCGAGGGTGGCTCTCGTTCTCAAATCTCGACTGTCTCATGGACCAGATACGCGTATAGTGTATCACAGGGCCGGCCTGTGGGGACCAGATATGCTTATATGCTTATATGCGCTGCAGATCATGATACATACAAAACCTAGGAAGAAGACCTCCTTGCATCTAACAGCTATGTGTAGTTACAATCGATTCCTTGGCGGTGACGCGGCATGCTTCAAATAACTGTATAATATGGCCAAATATACTTAGCACCATATCTTTCCTACTACATACATTGCTTTCAATGGGCTGCAGGGCTAAAAGGTTACGTAGCTTACGGCACGATATCACTGCTGATAATATACGCATGAAAGCACGCAATCGAGCTACCTTGCATTGTCTTTTTTTTTTTTTTTTTTTGGATATGACTACGCAAGCCCAAGTCCCAGAGATTCCTGGGCCTATATTGACTTAAACAAATGATGATCGGGCGTGAATTGTGCACCGAGCCAACTTGATATTCCATTTCGAAGTGTTCCCATTTTCGAGCCCGATCTCCAGCAACGCGAATGAAAGCCAGTGGATGCCAACCATGTCACCCCGTATTCACATTATAGGACTCGGCAGTGTCGGTGTAGTAGTTGCCAATGCTCTTGCCGGGCTTCGAAAGCGACCCGACCTCACTCTGATGTTCCACCGAGGGCTTAGGTGTGAAGGTCAGCCCTGCCTAACAGTGAACGGGATATACAATCAAGTCCACAGTGGATTCGATGTGGAAGAATTCCAGGATGGTCACTGGAAAAGGCTACCGGAACAATTTGGAAGAAATTTACTGTCACGCGATCACCCTCATCGTTGCAGTCAAGGCAAACTACACCCGATCTGTTTTAGCCACTGTCAAGCATCGATTATCCAGAAACAGCACCATTTTGTTCTTGCAGAACGGTATGGGCACTCTAGAGGAGGTTGACGAAAGCGTCTTTCCAGATCCAGCGCAATGGCCACATTATATGATTGGCATCAACACCAATGGAACGTCCCGGCTGGGCCAGTTGTCTGCATATCATACGAGCCTGGGCGAAATCCCTTTTGGTATGGCTCCTAGGATCTCTTCTCCTGAGGCATGCCATGGCCAGTGGCACCAAGACCCCAGGCTCATTCATTCTGCCTGGCCCTTGATTGAGGCTCTGTCCAACGGCCCCAACCTGAATGCCCGGCTTGTGAGTGTTGAGGAAGTTCTCCATCTGCAGCTGAGGAAGCTGGCGATAAACGCGGTCTTGAATCCACTCACTGCTCTGCTGGAATGCAAAATCGGCATGCTATATTCTTCACAGCAGCCGTGGGTCCAAAGGCTGATTGAGCTTATGCTGGAGGAGATATCAGCGGTACTAAGGACACTTCCGCTACCGTTCCAGACAAGCTTTGATATGAAAGCGGGGTTCGCAGCGAACCAGTTAATTTCAATGGTTGAAGGCATGGCTCAACGTCTCTCCCAACACAACTCGTCCATGATGCAGGATATAAGCAATGGATCTGAAACCGAGGTTGCCTACCTAAATGGATTTTTGATCAGATTGGGCATGCAGCTTGGAATAGATTGTCCTGTCAATGATTACATCCTGCAGGCGGTGCTGGACAAACAAGTGTCGCGGCGCCATGGTGGTCCCAAACAACGAGTTAACACCAAACAGCAAAGGAAAGCTCAACCAGTCTGATAGGAATAGGAAGTATATCGTCCCTAACAATTCCAGCTGGGCTAGACTCTTCATAGTACAGTACTATCTCGCATGTCTTGGATAAACCATATTAGTATGAAACCCCTAGAACAGGGTTCCATCACTCACTGGTTCACTAAAACCCCTTTCTTTCCTACTTGTTCTTGCAGTAATGAGTCGCTTGTGGAGGGTGACGACATCTGCGAAGCAGTTCCGTACATTCCTTGTTAACACCCTCTAGACCTGCGATGGTGTCGCCGTGGGCAGTCAAAACAGCGGACCATCCCTCGTGCATCTTCGTGGGATCAGCCCTATCTAGATGGTGGCATGTGTGACACCTTTCCACTGCTTCTATCACTGATATTCAAACCAACCGATCCAAGTCAAGGTGGTAAGGTAGCAGTCGCTTACTATTGGGGCTACTTACTACTGGGGTAAACCTAGCCCCAGGATAACAATTTCAATCCCCATCACCAGAGTATTTCACTAAAGAAAGCAAGGACTCTATATCCGCAATAGTAAGGCTCAAGAACCTGTACCAGGTAGTCGGTCCAATCATTTTGCCATTTCCAAACAGAGAGCTTTGGAGAACTCCCAGTCCACGATCCCACTGGCATTTCCATCGTGGACCATAATATTCTGAGGACGTAGATCTCCATGGGTAAACACGATTTTGTGAGTTTATTGTGAAAGCATACCAGCCAAGAAGCCTCTGACATGATATCTAGGTGTCTTTGATTGATATGCGTCGATCATTGCGTTATTAAAGTCTTCTTTTGGATTAAATGGTCCTGTATATATTAATATTGGTTAATATTAATTATAATCTGGAGTAAACACTACAAACCTTTGCGATGATAACCCTCCAAGGTTGGATCGGCAACGGCCCCAGTTAACTAAAGATCGTATTACTGGAAGTAACCTTCTCCTTGACGCTGTCTGGCTCAAATACTGAGGGGAAACGAGGAGAACGTACCAAGCAAACTCGAATGAGAGAACGCGCTTGAGGTCGACGGATGTCAGATGCACCGGCGAGCCAGCTAACCCAATTCGGCGATGCAAAGCCGGATTGTCGCTGTACAGATTGGCGATATCTTGACAGGCGAGGATATACTAGTAGTACCTTCGTCTGATACCCCTTCAGCCCTCCACAATTACGTTCTTATAAAGAGCATTCAAGAATGTGTGCCCCGAAATGAAAAGTGGAATTGAACCGAATTGAAGCCCTTATTGAATATCCACGCGTCCTGATAGCATGCAAAAATAGTCCCAAAACTGATGCTTTTACTGTACACTCCCAGCAGTATATTGAATGCCGGTTCCAACCAAGATATATACAAGGATATTACCTGCGTGCGGCCTCCAAATCCGCCGCCCACAGCGCTGCACCGACTGTGTTCGTGAACGAAAACCCAATCGAAGCGAAAGGAATCATTTCCAAAATAAACGAGGCTATTCCGAGCCTAGTGAGCAAGTCAGTAACAGTCTATACCAAGCAACTATATCGCAAAGGAATGAGCAAACATACCCCGTATATGCCCCTCTATTCTTCTCCACCCATGCATCCTTCTGTTTCTCACCCCACCCCTTCAGCTGGAAATACCGCGTATGAGCCACCGGCCCTAACTTCTTCCCCTGGGCATATGCATACAACGCAGTTCCCACCACCGGGATAAAATTCAACGGCAGGAGGATCAGCGTATGCAGCAACGCCTGTGGCTTCATCCGAGCCAGGGGCCGCTTCACCATTTTACCCAGTCGGGCAATGGCGTCTCTACCCGCCTGGGGCTTGATCTGTCGACCCTCCGCGACAAGCGATTCGTGACCGCGGGCAATGAGCGTGCCGTCGAAGGTATCCGTCAGTGCCTCTTCCAGGAGGAAAGAACGGGAGAGGAAGTTCGTGATCGTGGAACTTTCGCTGAGGATAAGCAAAGCGGCGGAAATGGGCGCAAAGGGGCCGCTGGTGAATGACATGATCGCTACTTGTGGCACGTAGGTGAAGAAGAACATGGCGCCTGTCACGCTGAGGCCGAGACTACTGATCTGCCCGACTTGCGAGAGGAGTGGACGCCAGAGGTCCTTGTGGTAGGCGAAATAAACTATCCCCTGTGCCCAATTGCTGTTAGGGTTTTGCGTGTATTCATCGTAGCGTGAAAATTGTAAGGTGACCATATCTGTTTGGCTGCGCGCATTCAGGAGCTGTCGAAAGGATCGCTCACCTTGAAAGGATAGATATAGGCGCCAGAGAGGGCGACATCTTGAGCGACCTCCTGGGCATGCTTGGCCTCTTCAATGAGGGCTTTTTTGGCCTTGTCATCCATGGTGTGGCTAATGTCGGTTGGTTGCGCGAGGTCAACGACAGATTCGAGTGATGTTTTTATTTTGATTCTCAGGAGGCTTAGCGCCGGGAAGGTGACGTCACAGGAGCCAATAGCGCATCTATTTATATTACCCGATCCATAGCTCGAGTGCCTCGACCCACACACCCGGTTTAATATACATCTTCATAAATAGACGAACAGACATCGACAGGACAAGAAGGGGAGTGCCGTCGCAATACAATCAGAAAACGCTATTCACCATGTGTAGGAAGTAAAAAGAAACTAGTAGAGAGGAAACACAAATGAAACCATTGGCTGCGAGCGGTTTTCAGCCGCCTGATAGAGCTAATGATCTGTCACTCTCGTCCTGTACTGCGCCTGCACACCGTATCCGTAACGCCAACCAAGTCCAATGTGGACAGCCTAAAAGATCGCCAATGGGAAACATTTTCCGTTCGCAAAGCGGAGGGTCCCTGAAGGAACCGAGGTTCATGCTCCGCTGTAACTATATGCCAGGGGTATTTAAAAGGAAAAGTGAAATTTTTATCGCTCGCGATCGGTCCGGCCTTGATGCCAAATAGTATCACCGCTGAGGGCCGAGAAGCTAAGGGCGGCGAAGTTTCTCCAGTTGGGCGGGGGCGCCGAAGACGAGTGCCGCTCAAGCAGACCAACATCGGAGCCACCGCGGCGTTCGAGGTCAGACCCTTCATCTTCACCGTTGTTCGTAATCGGGACGGGAGCGGACGATGCATTTGAATGGGAGTCTAGTTCATCACGATAGGTGTGGTCAACCGACTCCGCAGATTCGCGTGTTTCAGCGTCCTTATTCTGGGACATTGACCGAACGACATCCCCTTTGCAGATGGGACAGGTTCGTCGACGAGTTGTCAGCCACGGCGTACTATTCCTGTTAGCGACACAGACCAGAAGACCTTTAATTTGACCGCCACTTACATGCACTCCGCATGGAACTCATGCCCACAGGGCAAGCTCATCACCCTGCTCTGTCCGTCCACGTATTCTTCGAGGCAGACAACGCACTCCACCTGCCGGCCAGTATATTTGCGCCTCCAGAGCGCGGATGACGGGCCAGACTTCTCTTTCTTGGATGACTTCATTTTGGTGCTCTTGAAGTCCACCGTGGCCTCCGGTGTTTCCTGAGAGCGACGGCGTCCCGAACGGTTTTTAGAGCCCAGCAAGGGCGAAGTTGGTGAGACCGGGCCAGGGCTAGAGGACCGGGACGAGCATGATGTTGAGGACGACGATGTGCTGATTGTGTGGTAGGTCCTTACGGGAAGACGGTCAACCAAAGATTTGGGGGCTCGCCAACGTCTTCGACGGATGCGAGAGCGCAGCAGCAAAAGAGCATAAACCACCGTCAGGGTAAGCAGGGGGCTCACGACGAGTATCAGAAGTGTATCAAAGAACGGGCTAGTGGACATGCTTGTCGGTGTCAATGTGACCCATAAACCATCGTGCTCCAGCTGTCCAGCGTTCTGGAGACCCTGGACCGCAGATGCACCATGTAACTTTCGATCTTCGATATAATCTCGCCTGTCAGGCCGACTCGAGTCCTTCTCGCCACCCTTCGTCCAAGAGAAATGTCTTGCAAACCATCCCTTGCTCTGCTTAGGGTATCCTTGAGTGTGACTAGTCAAGCTCTGGTGGTTGGAACTGTGCAACTCTGCTTTGCTAGTTTTTGACTTATCTAGAGTACGATACTCGCCGCTTCCTGGGGTTATGCTGCCGCCCTTGAGCGAGGCTGTGGGGTGCGAGCCTTTCCCGGTAGTCTGCGCTTTGCTAGCGTCCGACTCCGGGACACTGCTCGGCAATGGGATGGAACTGCTGGGCGGGACTAGAAGGTCCGGGTCGCGCCAATCCTGAACACCAATCATAAACCCATCACCGTCGGCCTCTTGTGAAGTAACATCAGGCTTCTTGCGGTCACCAGCACCGCTATCGGCTTTCGCCCGGTTGTTAACACGATCGGTGTCATCCTGAGACATCTCCATATCATCCCAGGGATCCTTCAGGACCCAGTCAATGTTCCCGCTACTGGGAGGTCGTTGGCTATCCTCTGGCAGGCGTCCGCTGTTCCTCCCAATTCCCAGCAGGGACACGAGACTCTGAATGAAGCCTGCCTTGCGGGTCGCCGTGGTCGGTTTGCCGCCAGATGATGTGGCATATCGCGTGGAAGTTGGCGACACAGCCGCGGCGGATGTCATCGTAGGCACTATCTGCTGGTTTCCAGCCGTACTCTGGCTGGAAAGCTTGGTGTGGCGTGGCCCAGAAGGGTCATCTACACTCGAATCTCCCCCGGCCTGCGGAGGAACAAGCGACGAGAGCAGGTGCGCCGTGGTATACGAGGTGAACAGAGAGGGAATTGTTACGTTGGATGTGTCGCCTCGGGCGTACATGGTGATAAGGCTGCCTCCACGGGTATCATCCCCAACAATCAACGCGATTCCTCCACGCCTTTGAGCCCATTTGACCTTCTCTAAGAAGCCGCAGCCACCCCGGCTCAATAGAACAACCTTACCACTGATCTCAGCGCTCTCTTGTAAAGATTGTATATCGGCATGCTCAGTTTGCCTGTTCTGGGGATCCCCGCGCTGCTCAGAGATACCCGGCTCTGCTACTTTAGATTCGGGGAGTGGGTGGTGCAGGTGATCATCCGTGCCATCGTTCGTCGACGGTGTCACAGCACCGTCATTTGTGCTGGCTTGTGAGTCGATGTCCTGCTTAGGATCCGTACGATGCAGATTCGAAGTCGCTGGGTCAGCTCCACCAACGGCCACAGGCTTCCCGAGCATGGCATCTGACGCCGCTGGTATGTCCTGCCTGTGACCTTCGCCCTCCCCCCATCCTGGAATATCTGAACACCCTAGTTCCCCTTCCGCCCCAGCAGTGGTTCTATCTCCGAATCCGCTGCCGATCCATAGCTGACCGCTGAGCCCCTTGTCGGGAAGGGGCGGGCCAAACGCTGCCGGCCGGGCCAAGAAGAATGTCGAGTTATCATCGGTCAGACTGATGATAGCAGACGGTGGGAATAGCGAGGCGGGAATGTTGAAAGAAAAGAGAGCATGAAGTCCCGTCGCTCGACCAGCGAACGAACTGGGGGTGGTCACACGAGACGATGATGTAAGAACAGAAAAGAGAGTGAGGAAGATCGGAAAGAAGATGAAACAGAAAACAAGAAAGATCAAACGTGGCGGTCGCATAGTTGAGCCTTGTCCGAGATAGACAACCAGAAGACTGCCTCTGTCTGACTGGAAGGGAAGTCGTCGAAAATTCCAGGAGAGTTTCAGTGTTAGGTACGATGGCTCGTTTTGTTGTTGACTGAGAGAGCTATGACCAATCGGACGGTCGTCGAAGGAGATTAAGGCGGGCACTCATCGAGAGGGGAGGGAAAACAACACAAGGGAAAGGCGAATCAAATTAACGATGTTCAGTCAGCACCCGGGGACAACAGATGAAGGAGGGAAAAAGGAGCTGCAGAGAGTCATGAACGATGCGACCGGGGAGGGTGGTGGAGAAGGGGAGAAAGGAAGAGAGTTTAGTTTGTGAGGTGACTCCGTTCGAGCGCCTGGAGAGCGTCTCCGTCACACGCAACAACCGCAGCACAGCCTCGGAGTCACGGGATAGTGGGTATGGTGCCTCAGGCAGGACGATCAGGCAACGCCGGTCGAGAACGACTAATGGTTGTTGGGTATTATTTCTTCCCCAGGATCGTTTGCCGACCTGGCGACCGTACTAGTGGAGTCCACATTCCTTGTTTGTTTGTCGTGGTTTCTCCCATGTCTTACGACTCGGCATATCGTACAATATCTGACTACGTATCACCGGACACCTGCAATATCCCCAGGCTACCAAGTCGGTGATATTCCCCGTACGAGACCCAAATTTTCAAGAACACTGGCTCCTGTCTGGAGTCTGAACAAGGTAAGAAATCGTCTCCCGCAGATCATGCTGTCATCGGCCCCCACCCCACACCAACGGATTGCATTTCGATCGTCGCCCTACGCGCATTCACGGGACCACTCTGCCCTAGACTCGATTTGTGTACTAGTGGAAAGAACATCCAGGGATGGCCATTCATCTCGAGATTAATTGTCCACGTGACGTAACGTTCCCACCTTCTACTTGTGTCACTAGTACTTGTATCGTTCTACGTCAACTTCTATAGAATATGTTGTTGTATTCCTCAAGACTTCCAGGTTTATGTCCCTGGAGCCTGAAGTTGAGTACTACTGTGGCTGTTGGAATGTGCTGAGTCATATTTTGCTCCTGAGCCCAATTTTCTATAGCCATCCAAACAGACTGGCCATATCACGAAAAGGTTTCCACTTGAAGAGTACTTACGCAGTACACAAGTACCAAATAGTTAACAACCATTTCATGGTGTTATGGGTCTGTTTCCCCTTGCGATGAGCAAAGGTGGAACCCTCCACGAACGTGGGGTTGAGAAATTGTGGCGGTCACCGAACAAGGTCGTGGCTGGTGGTTCCAATTAGTACGCAGTAGCTTATTTGGTCCCGTTTGGGGCTAGTGACATGGTGGGTACCACGAACAATCGTCTTCTTTGACTTGTTCAAGATGCACAGAGCAAAGGCAGGATGAAGGTATCCAACCTCATTGTCCCAAACTGAACCAGCTTTGACCCTTCCATCACTGGTCATTGTAAATCTGACTGGATGGCATCAGTGTAATATAAGGCGTACAATCGCCCATCGTTGCGGTATATATCTATGTCTACGGCTGGGTGTCTACAACCTCAATAACATTGGTTCGTGAACTTGAAAACAAAAAAAAAAAAAAATATACATCCAAAAGCTGATTATACATCCTGTTTAAGGATTGATCTCTCCCCTCACAGCACCCCACAATGTCACATCTCCTTCACAAGGTGAAAGAAGCCGTGACTGGCCATCACCACGATTCCAAGGGTATGAGAGCCTGTCGCTGTGAGAGTCCATATCTACCGTGGCTGACAAATGACTTCTTGTTTAGAGCATCGTAACCAGGCTGGAAGTTCTGACGCTGGAAAACACGAATCATGATACTGGCCATGGATCTAGACCCACGACCAGTATGGGTCCAATACCGGCGACTACGGATCTCACGAATATGGATTGAAGACGGACGCGGGCAGCAATGGATCCAATACTACCAATTCCGGTAAACCTAGCCCAGGCAATTATGTGTCTGGTGCTGGTGAATATGGCTCTCACCCTGGAGCGGGTCATTACGGAACAGGCACCGGCGATCTTAGCTCTCAGGCAGGCGCTGGCGGCTATGGTGGTTATGGATCTACCCCAGGCCGTTATAGTTCAGGCACAGGCTCCTATGGTTCCCCTGGTGCACCACCAGGAGGACCAGGCGGTACACAGCGTAACCAATGGTAAACAGCTTTCAATGATAGGTGTGTTCCGCGCTTGTTAAATTGTTCCTTGTATCATCAAACTTGCCCAGTGATTCTCATGCTGTCTTGACATGATCAGAAAGATGTAATAAAAGGCTGCGTTCATGCCATCACTTTTTGTCTAATAAATAACTATATGCGTGTATTTCAATGCTTTGGTTGAATATATATCTAGTATTCGTTGCTGCTCGAAACAATAGGATTTAACTCCCATCCAGACAACTGATCCTTCCTGCTACTAGTCCGCATGAGTACTAGGAGGTATGCATAAGCATCGCTGGGCTGTACCTTCCTTGTCTTTTCTCTAATCTGAGAAATGGTCATCTGTTTGTTACGTTGTACATTGACCATATCGCATTACAATGCGGATTTCCCGGCAGACATGAACTCGTGCTAACATCTATTGTTTTTATGCGTATCCAACAGACCTCCTGGCGATCTCGTGGAATACGTGGGAATGACTCTTGGTTGAGATGTCGGATGAAGTGAGGACCAAGAAAAACCGTCGTCGTAGGCAGTTCTCCTCGCAGAGGCCGATCAAGCGGGACTAGCACCTCTGTGTTGTTACTGATGCCAATTTCGACAACAGGGCAAAGGTCTCGCAGGAAGAAGGGTGTCGTGACCATCGAGAGCATCGCGCCAGGAAGAGCTCCTCTGGGCGCCTGGCGCCCAATTCCCAGTGCCACCACTCCGTGTCATCATGTCGAGAACAGAGCCATCACACCATCTTCAAGTGAACGGCCAAGGTCTGCATCAAAGTGCGACTCGTGGCATGTTAGTCAGTACCTAGCAATTATACGTGATCTCTGCGCGCATTCTGACTCCCCATCCTGCTTCAGTCTTCTGCGTCGCGTCTCTCCACACTAACACCAGCACCTCAGCTCATCCCCTTCAAAACAGACGCCTTCCCCCTTCAATCAGTCTCCAGAAACACCAAACCCAGGCGCTTTTCATCTTTCCTTCCACAAACTCCGCTCCCGAATAGTCGATCTCAATCCTCACTACACTTGATCACGCGGTCTGGCCCTCTCGCAGAAAAAGCACAGTCTCTCCCAACCACTCTTACCCCTCCTCTACCGGTCGAAGACAATTACCTTACACCCAGAATGGCCTTTAGAAGATCCTTTGCTAGGCCTCACTGCCAGGCCTTCAGGTCCGGAAATACACACGATCCCATGTACCAGGATGACGTTTATGAATTGCGTGGTTTTGATGATCTGCCGTCGTCACAAGCCATCTGCTTGACCAAGTTTGCCAAGGCGCACCCCCGAAACAAAGGCAATAAGTCCTGGAAGCCTTTGCAACTAGAAAGCACCGAAGACAGCGATCGGACGGACAGTCAAAGCCCAATGGCCCTCTTCGAGACGGGCCGAAGTGAGCCTCGCTCTCGATTGTCTGCCCTTCATCGTGCGTATAGTGGTGATTGTCATCTGAACAAGCACAGTGAACGGGTCCTGGCACCTACTCGGTTTCATTCGCAATCGTACGATTACAGTCCAGAAGTACAGCCTGGGGAAGCGGCATGGCTGACGAATGCCAACGCAATTCACTACCAAGAGAATCCTCTTAATTATTCCCACAACTACGGTTTCCCTTATTCCTACCCACATTCACAACAACATAGCTGCGTATCGGAGAGTCCCTTCCTGAGAAATGATGACTATCACAGCTCGGAGCACCTTCCCTGGTCGACAGATCTACATTCGATCTCCAATGGGCTGTCTTTGATGGGTGTATCGCAGCCAAACGTTTACAACCAGAACTACATCGCGGATGGTAGCATCATGACGGACTCCTCTCTGAATATCTACAGCGCCAGTTTTGACCAGCCGGACAGCCGATCTCCTTACGAATCAGTACCTGTTCACTATGATGCCCTCGCTCATGAGAGCTTGTTAACTCGGCACCCATCGCTCTCGGCGTCATATGAAGATCGATCGAGAGATTTCTCATCTATCTCGTGGGACCCCTCTTTGAATGCTGCATATGAGCATGTATCGAGCCCTAAGCCAAGTACACCTGCGATGGAGTGTCAATCACAGACGCCGGCTTTGTCCTACTTTCAGACATTGAATGATGTAGATGCTCCACAAATGCCTCGTGCTGAGGCCCCAGGTCCTGACCATGAAAGCTTTGATAAGGATGACAAAGGCTATACTCAAGAAGAAAAACTTGCATTGCTTACAGGGGCTGAATATGAGCGGATTACTGCGGATCAGGATAAATTCTCGGTCACCCAAATGGAAGCATGCGATGCACACGCCCAGGGGACTACAACTATGGATAGCTCATCGGATCGTGTCTCTGATCTAAGCGGCGAGCCAACAACCACAGATTCAATCAATTCGGGGAACGTTGATATCCGAGCAACTTACCCGCTAGAAATGACCGAGAAGTCGTCGAGATTGGGTCCTGTCTGGTACGATTTCACTGAAAGATGGAAAGGAATTCCCGCGGCGGGCGTCCCAGGATACCTAAACTTAATGACTAGCAAACGCATCAGACCTCCGCCTGGACTCTCTGAGCCAGTGGTGCATAATCCAACAACATGGCCTTTGGCTTGCAGAAATGATCCCCTGGTGACTCAGAGAAGACTTGATGAAGCCAATGAATGGTTCCGCAAAGATGCCCGAGGCCAGGAGCAACTTCGAGGACAAGTCACAGATATCGCGCAGAACTACGCCGAAAGAATTGAGGGGCGTAGTGGAACAACTCGCGCGCTACAGGAAAGTACAACTGCGAAGCAAATAAGTTCCCTAATCGGCAACGTCATCATTAATCTACATTTCTACGTCTCTGAGAGCTCGTCGCGAGACTCAGCAGGTTTCGCAGACTTTGAAGATGTGGAGAGTTGTTATTGTGAACCCAGCCTGGGCGGACGCCGCAGTTACTTCGACCGAGACCCATCTAACCACTGGAGGCTTCGTTTGGATCGGGCTCATTCGACTATGAGTAACATGTCAGAATCAAGTCCCTCATCCTCTCACATCAGGGCTCCATGACCTCACAGCAGCCAAAAATATGCTAGGCCGATATCTACGTAATCAGTGGATCGATATCACCAACAGACGATGAAAGGCTATCGGAGGCTTTAGAGGGCTTGGAGCGTTGATTTGAGGTTAGGTAAGCAAGCAATCAATGATACCCTCTGGTGTTGGTTACTGATCTTAACTTTCTTCAGTTTCCGTAAGTCTCGAAGAGACTCATGGAGGCAATGAACAGAACTAGGAAGCAGGACGGCTGGTACCGGGTATGTCAGTATCTATCTCGAAACTAACATCACTACTGATTCGATATTTATAGCTCAGATACCGTGGGAATTGGGTGTATTCTGCATTCCGCGCGGCAAAGTATGATTACGCCTTGCTTGAGGGATCGCAGTCTAGAGGGCTCATTGGGGTATTTGAAATGCTTAGAAAAACAAAGGCTTCCTTAGTTGTTCTGCAGTGTGATAACAATCATAGCAGTTTTCCACTCATTTCTCTCCTACAGTAGCAGAAGAAGGGTATTGATAATCTGCCATTTGTGAGGAACTTGAATTCCATCCAGGCCCATTCCCAAACATATAAATGGACTTGCCATCATACCTCCAGCTACCACTGTCAGAAGATTTTCATGACTAGCATCATGTCGCCCGTGCAGCATTCAGAAGATATCCACTCGGGGACTTCCTTCAGGATCAATCCCTGCTTCACCTGGCAGGCAGCTATACGTGACAGTCGCCCATTTAATTAATAGCCGTTGGAAAACTGCGGATTCTTGACCATAAAATCCAAGATGCAGTTTCATGAGAGAGGGTCCAGAATAGCATATACCCATAATCATATAGAATAAGATAGCTATCCGCTAGGAAGAAGATGCAAAGAAAGTAAGCAGGACAAATGAATCATTAGGGTTAATGGTATGAGCAACAAACAATTTAGCTCGGGATCCAATACCTAATACAAAACTCCACATAACCCAAACTACCGAAAAGTAGCAAGACAGACCCCTATAACTAGAAAAAAAAAAAGAAAAGAAAAAAATGCCGATTCCTTTCCCACGGCTTGTCTTATCACTTATCACAATTCACATAATCAATGGTGCAAATACATGACCGATAGGGAAAGTGGCCATTAGTTGGATCACAGCGCATGAGCTTTCCTTTATACTCCATGTCTATACTGAATCAGCAATACGTTCTTCTCTGTACTTTCTCTGTTCGACAGGGCTGGATAGTTAAATAGCTGAGTAATTGCCAAAGCGTACCATATCCCTGTTTCATTGCATTGACACATTTTAGTTCCAGCCCCGTTAGCGCACAGGCATACTGGCTGCATTCGTACTGTACGCAGGTGTACAGGCCCCGTTGTCCGGTTTGAACGGGTTTCCCGCGAAGGTCGAGGCCTGCTGCTAGGCCTAGGAAGGATGTGAGGGTTGCGAGGAGGAGCATTTTAGTTAGGGTACCCTGTAGTGAACTCAGAGAGCTTCAGGTAGAATAAGGATAAGGATATGGATATCATAAACTAGAGCCTCTTTGGGGTAGAAAACCGGTTATCCAAAGGGAAGGTTCTAATAGAGTAATAGAGGCTCAGAGATAACTTCATATGAATCTGGAGAATTTAGGACATGGCTTATATACCCAGATATCTGTGGTAATGGCTTACTGCTAGGAGACTGAAGCCTGGATCCCTAGAGCATCTGAGTTTAGATGAGAGATGGGATGGTCCGGTGATATTTTACAATCTGATTATTTTGTAATTTCAGTCGCGTCATGTTACACCTTCAGGTGAACAGGTTCGTTAGGATTGGTTTTATTCGCTTTTTCTTGGGCTTTCGTGATAGTGTTCGCCATGGTTCCGGGGTTGTATGTACACGATGCTAGTTTCTCTTCTAACTATCCCATGAACAAGCATTCTTGTTTCGACGGGCTCCGCTTGAAACAGGCAATTGATTTATCTCTTGGGGTGATCACTATCCTTGAACGCTGCCTGGAGCAATGAATCTCTGGATCGAACCGTGTTATGCTTTATACATACTACTCGTACCGTAGGCTATCGTATGACCAACCATGTCTTGCGACTTTCAACAAGGCAACCATGGTGGCATGACGCCTTGATTATGCGTGGTGATCTGGCCAACTCTAGACAGGCCGAGAGGTGGAATAGAGACACAGCAACTCATGGTACCTGCCAAGGTTAACTTTCCGCGGCGATCAAAACTGTAGATCAAACCAGGGTTCATCTCGGCGCATCTCTATTTCCTACTTCGAGATCTTTCACCATGAACAGTGCTGCCTAGACTATGTCACAGATTTAGAAGCCCTAATGGAAAGTACGCAATGGACCCCGTATGTGAAGCGCGAATTTGTAAAACGCGGGTCGTAGTTAAATGAAATGCGATACTGACTAACAAAACTATAAGATCCCTGATACACACTTCAAAACTTTTGAGACTGCCACACCTTTTGGAACACACGATGCAGTTCAATGTGGTTAAGACTGGAGAAGCACCACATCTCACATAGCCGTTAGAAAGCCGCTCCCCCCGGTGATGGTCGCAGTGGCAAGGGTTGTTACCCGCGACGCTTCGGATCCGCTTGCACTGGCTGAGGTGGACGCCCCCGACGATTGGGTTCCACTTTCACTGGCTGTAGTGGACGCTCCCGACGTTTGGGTTCCGCTTACACTGACTGGGGTGGACGTCCCCGTAGTAATAGATCCCGTGGCAGTCTGGCCCACGGTAATATTAGGCGCAGAACTCCAGCCAGCAGGTAGGCTACTGCTTGGCTCGATTTCCGTGACGTTGGAGGATGTGCTGTTGAAATTGGTGGGCGCCATAGCAATCCACTTGTCATCCAGATTATAGACAACATATGCCGAGCGTAGCAGGGTGTCACCCAGCAGCAGCGGCCTGTTCTTTTGTGGTCCCATGCCAAACCAACAAACTTCTATGCCTTTCGTATCTGTGATCTGTGTGCCATTGGGGAAAATCCCAGGGATAACGAACTCATATATAGGAGCAGCGATAACCACCCCTTTAGGACCTCCAAAGCCGAAGTTGAATGTCGCATTCACGGACCTCAACTGACAGTCGACACGCCCATCGTCCAGAACACCGGCTGCTTCGGCTATCTCCTGATATATCTCATCCGGAATCAGAATCCCTGGAAAGCCAGCGTCCAGAATGGCATATTCCTTGAAATCCTGGCCGGAGATTGCAATTTCTGCACCACTAGAATTCGTGAGCGAGAAGGAGGTCCATGTCACGGCTAAATCTGTGAAACCCCCACTCGCGTTCGGCTGCATTGGCAATGCTACCAAGTCATCATGGTATTTATCAGAATCGTATCCCCCAAAAAGCACACTTCCGGTGCTCGAATCTAGCTTCTCGTTAGCAGGCGTATCGCAGTATGTGATGGCTCAGAGGTCATACTAAGATCATCAAGCCACAGGCTGTATGAACGACTCTTCGTCAGACCCTGCTCCACCATCTGGTCCACGAAGCTGGTGCTGTTGGATTCACTCGATGCAAACCCAATGCCCATGACGCCAGTATTAAACCCTGCCGCGTCTGTTGCTACTCCCATCTCAAGGTCTTTAATCGTCATGTTACCAACAGAAAAGTCATCCTTAACCCAGTCACCTTTCACTCCTATACCCGGGGTATCAAAAGATATCTGGAAGCCTCCTTTGTCTGTTACAGTCGCTGTGCGAGAATCGTTTGGGCTGTCTGGGACAGACTGGATGTTAGCGGGCTTTCACGCAACAGAAAAAGCAAAAGGGAGTAGCAGCGAGTAGCTCTAAGTAGAGGCCCAGTTTTAAACTTACATGCACCTCCCAGGCAGTAAGACGTGTTGGGGTCACAGGAACGTACCCCAAAAGCCCAGACATCACTGCTAGCGGTATCCAACTGCAGCTGGACAACTTGCGCCGGGGTGCCGATGGAGACATTGACATAATACAAGCCCGCTGGTATAAAGTTCCCTAGTTCGACACTAAAGGAGCCATTGTTCGAAGCAGTCTGTCTTCGTGACAAGCCCATCTTAACAACATTTGGAGAGCCTAGGGCCCATGCTGCCAGAGAGATTTGCACGATAAGACACTTGTAAGACAACATCATCCTCATGCTGAAATTTCGAATGGACGTAGGGGGTATAAGGCGGACTGGTAATTGCGAAGCAGATCGGTCAAACTAGCCACTTCCGTAGTCTTGATCATGTATCTCAATGGAAAGGATATCCATCTGTCTTTCCGGTCAGTACAAGAGAAAGTAATACCAGGGCAATGTGCCGTGGAATAAGACGATGGATTTTATATCCTGACTTCCATCCTCTGCGTAAGAACCATCTGCTGCAAATCGGATATGGTTCCCGCCGCTGTAAACACCAAGAATCCGTACCGAATGGCCCAGACCCGAGAGAAAAAAAGCTTCGGCCTGCTATCCGCCTCATGATCTTGGCTCCGATCCACTGGAGACCGTGAAGCGTTCATACTTATGAGTCGCATGATCTTTGTTCCAATCCACTAGATACTATGAAACTCAATTCATTGATTAATTGATTCTAGCCCATCCGTAAGAATTTTAGCAGATCAAGAAAAGCTTGCCTGGAGGTGGCGAAAGAGAGGTATAACCGTGGCTTAATGCCGGGCCAGAGAGAGATCATCTAGTATTTGACTCCATCTTCCTGCCATTCGTCTCTTGCAGGCAGGCATGGCAGCCACCAGGTCGGTGGACTCAACCGGAGCAGCGGGGGGGTTCTAGATGTGGCCGGGTTCATAATGCATCGAGAGTCTCATGATATGCGGCCAGTTCCGTGACGCAATCTACCCCCGGATTTGAACGTTCATAAATGGTTGACCTGAAGCCACTCTCACCAAACTGTGAATTCGAGATCAGGACTGTGATACCCATGAATACCCCTATGGAACGATAGGAAATTAATAGGTGGATTTTGGAGGTGCCTGCGATCTCGGTATATTCTTTTGTTCTAGTGCGCAGCGAAAGCTATTGAGAATAGGGTGATATGATCTCTTCAGCAGCAACCTGCATTGGAATAAGGAGACTATATTATTAATAATACATAGAACCTTTTAGAATAATATTACTATGTAATCCTAGCTACGAGAAATGGCTAGTGCCATGTGGTTTAGGCAGTTCTATAAAGGTGCCGCAACTACGATATAGATAAGTACTGGGCTACTAACTCCCACTACACTATACAAAGAAGAGGAACGGCTATCAGCTTGTCATGGCTCGATTCTCAAGGTACTAATGCTAAGATCTCTTGTTCAATGAGTCACACTCCCGTTTGTTCCGTTGGAGACCTTCGTTCCATTGGCGACCTTCGCTCCGTTGTGAACTGCACCTGTCCCGGGGACGATGCGTCCACTCGCATCCAGAAACTGAAACACCTCAGCATACAGGGACCCATCGCGAACCGCCTCATAAATGATCGAGACCCAGGATCCGATTGTCTTCTTCGGACGACCATCAATGACGTTCCCTTCCTTGTCCCCAGCCACGGGATGCTCGACGAGGCCGCGGTGGAGCGGTACACCCAACGTCTCCCGCACAAAGCGGTAAATCATTCGGGTTCCCTGCCCCAGATACTGGGCGGTGGAGGGCTGTTTGAAGAATGCATCGCGGTGTTGCAGATATGACTGCAGAATGAGCGACTCGAAGGCTTTGGTCAAGCCGGTGACCTTCTCAACAGGCAAAATTATGGGAATGTGCTGCGAGTTGACTAGCACAGCGACTGCTAGCGACTGCGCGGCCTTTGCGGCGCGCTCAGCTGCATCGTATGCTGCGTTTGCGTACCAGGCTTCTTCGAACTCTTTCCAGAAGGTGTTGAAGAACCGGTCCCTGCTGGCTGGGTCATGCGTATCGACGAATAGACCGGTGATAATGAGCTTGCGGGCAGGGGCTTCTAGGCTAGCGATGAAGGTGCGGTGGAGAGCTCGCAGATCTACACCCTGGCAGGCGGTGTAGAGTGCATTGGCCACAATCAGGGAGAGGACCTCAACGGCTGCCATTGTCTGGCGTGCAGAGAGAAGGCCAAGCGAATTGACAGCCTGGTTGTGCATCTCAGCAGACTGGACGTGGTTGCTGACGGGATTGGCCAGGAATCCTAGCTCGGATGTATAGGCAGCGGTATTGACATCGATACCCTTGAGACAGAAAGATAGACTAGGATCATCGGCAGCAAGATTAGGCGGAAGACCATTGTTCAGACCGTGATTGATTGCTTCGGTAGTTTGACTAAACAATAACTTGCCGATAGATTGTAAAGCAAGACGGATCTTCTCCGTAGCGGATGTAACAGCAGCCGCCTGGAAGTTCGCGCCGCAGTGGATATCGTCATCTAGAGTATTGACAACCGGATTATCAGAAGTCGAATTCAATTCGACTTCCAGCTGTTTTTCAGCAGTGAGAAGATCCTCGAGCTGTGGCGACAACCATTGAGGAGAGCTGCGCAATGCATAGCGCTCCTGGGCTAGTCCGGAACTGAAACGATCCTTTGTCTGCTCTAGTCCATACGAGAGCTGTGAGCCATACAGAAAGGTTCGGATATTCTGCGCAGCCTCAATTTGGCCCTGGTGGGGGCGCACAGCGGCAATAAAAGGGTGGGCCCATTCATTGTTAGCGTATAGAACCTCGGACATCAGTGCAGTCAATAGCTGCGAGACTAGAGCAAGCTGATTTGCTTCATAAGAAGCTAGACTAGCCACGGCAGCGGCAGCGGCAGTTCCATTAATCAGAGATAGACCCTCTTTCGGACCGAGGACGATAGGCTCAATCGAGGCTTCCTTGAGTGCTTGAAACGCGGATAGAACGCGAGGGGCGTCTCCCTTTAGACCCCCAACGCGTACATAGACATCTGGATTCCCTTGAATGGCTCCAGAAAGATATGATAGAGGCATCAGGTCTCCAGAAGCCGAGATTGAGCCGCGTAATGGGACAATTGGTACAATATCATGATCCAACAGCTTGATCATGGTATCAACAACATTGCGAGTCATTGCCGAATGACCACGGATATTGGCGTTGCACCGAACTACAGTCATAGCTCTCGTCCAGGCGCTCGGCATACTGTGTGATTCCAAGTATTCGTGTTTGCTGGAACCGGTTTTGTCTTCCTCGGTCAATACAGCACTCTGGGTGTGCTGCATCAACGCACGCTGTAGCCCGTACAGGTCTGTGGTGCGTGTATCAGCACTGCCCCCGAACCCAGTATTAACGCCTATGTTCCCCGGGTCAGCACACATGCATCTTCAAAGCACAAATTAAAGTGCCAGTGATGACGAACCATAGAGATAGTACCCCTTCGACAGATAGTCTTGTAGGGTCTCCACACTCTCTTCAATGCCCTGAGTGACATTGGTTTCCTCTGTGACAGCTACGCGCACACCGTTTCTAAAAGGTAGCGGTCCTATATGTAAGCATTACGGATAGATATCAGGAACAGACTATGTCAAGTACTGACCTTGCGATAGCGACAATTGCCGCCACATCTAGCGTTTTGCCGTCTATTTGAATAGTACCGGCTTTGATATAGGAATTGAGTCTGGCCCATGACTGCAGAGCTTGTTGTGCATGAGGTGTCGGCCATTGATGGTGGACATCATACACCCGCTCAGGAAGTGTGCTGCCCATGACGAATGATTTGGAAACGCGAGATATAGAGTGTGAGGAGAAGACAGAGATTTGACGATCTAGAGAAGAGAGATGTCCTGGTTGACGTTTCTCGGCGACCAGATAGCCTCTTTATATCCCATGGCCCATAAGGTACAGTACTCGATTACGACTTTGACAACTTGGTGAAGTCTTTCATAACGAGAATACGAATAACTCCGATGGAGGTGAATTCGAAGATGAAGGTATCCACAGCAATACCGTCGGAGATCCGATCAGACAGTTGAAGTGATCGAGGTGATCTAGACTATGAGAATATCTGCCACACGCAAAACACAAAAAAAGCCTGTTTCGTAATGGTTGTGTTCTTTTGCACGGAGGAATTGGTGGAAGCGGGAGTGGAGCGGGCGAGGGCGAAGGAAGGATGGCGATAGACCAGCCACTTCTCACCATACCTAAGCGTCCAGGAGGACATTAGGGCCGGTGGTAAGGCGGATAGGAAAGGAGCCCATAACATGAATCAATCATGGTGTTATTGATTGTTTGACAATTACCGGCGCATCCTGAAGGATGGCTCAATGCAATTCAGCGCAGTAGTGTTACTCAGGATCAGACCCCCGCATTGATTATCGGAGAGCAAAGGTATCTTGGTCAAGCTCTAGCCCTTCATCGGCAAGGAATTGAGCCATAAGTCGAACTAAGATGCACCTTCATCAGGATCACGTAGTATTACCGCTCCGAGATATAGTGATTAGTCCAGCGCTAGAAAGTTTGGTTTGATTAGCCTGCTTATTCTCGGTGGGAAGAATCCGGCTAAATGCAAACGGTTTGTTCCTGTCCTCAAATTCGAGGTCCCCAAACTTGTCTTGAAGGAGAAGAGTCCCTAATAGTTCAGAGGTCTGTATGCCGTCCAGCACGCTTGGTTGTTCTGGCTTGAAACTTCTCACCAGAGACAAGAAAATGATGTCGCGTTTAGAGCAGCGAAGCTGCAGGTATGCATTGTATCGCTCGACAAGCGATGAATTGAGTTCTTCTAAACCCAATTATTCATACCTGCATGATACCAAGAGATATCTTTGTGTAAGACAAAAGTACCAGACCCGTCTTACACCATGGCGCTAGAGTTAATCATGCCCGGGAGGATGAAGAGCAAGGATAGGATTCCATCTTACTCCTGATGTTACCATGGGGTGAGGTGTAGATTATGAGGCGCGCGCTAATCTAGTTAGCCGTTTCAATCACCGTCCGACGGGGTTTGTCCGGCGGCTCGGTTTGCGCAGGAGAAAAGTGGAAAGAGCATTGATTCAAGGTCTCGCTACTACAAGTAGTACTAGTACTAGTACTAGTAGTTACCTGAGCGTTTGCATGTTCGCCATCAGCGTCGTGTTTGTCTTGGTACTATAGTAGGTACTCTTGGCCAAGGCGTCGGACGGTAAACTCGCCCCGACGTACTACTATGATTAGTGCTAAAGTAATTCCCCCACCTCGGGTCAGATTTGAAAAAGATATGTGATAGTACTCATACTACTAATTACATACATTGAGACTAGTACATGTCCGGGGTTCGCACGCGAGATTAGCCTCGTCATTCGCAATTCTAGGGGCTGACATCTTCGTTATTGTACTTGCATGCATGACGACTCTACGGATTGCTATCTATTGGTTGGATCTATACTTAGAGCGAAGGAACTGAGTCGATATTGGTCCGAACCTTATCTTAGTAGCTAATCAATAGCCCCTTGGCGATGTTGCTGACTGCGATACTAGTTTACACTAGGCCGTAATTACCGGACTGAAAGTTTTCAATTCTCAGTATAGTAATACAACTTATACAAGGGCCGGCAGTAAGCAAGGCAGGACAACTTCAAGTACTACTGGACGGAGGCGAAAATGTAACCCCCGTCTTGCCATCGCGCATTCAGCAGTGATAACCAGACCATCCATAGACTACTAGTATTGATCCATCTCTCAATATTCGAGAGATTTCTCCCAGGCGGACAACATGGCCCCCACCAAGACTGCTGAGGAGGCGATATCCTCTCCGGCGGAGGGGGATGAAGTGCTAAATCCAAACGAAGTGTTTTGGGATGGCGGCCAAGATCCATCCAATCCCAGAAATTGGAGCGCTGTGCGCCGATGGTGCCACATTGTTGTCGTCTCGCTATTGACCTTCGTCACGTAAGTGCTTAACTCCAAGTATTGCTCCTACGGCTTTGTGTCTCTTCCCCCGTCTTATCTAACCTCCGCACTAATGATGTCCCTCGCTCTTGTTCGCCGGTCTATAGATCGATGGGCTCGTCGATGCTGGCTCCTGCAGTACCAGATGTGATGAGAGCGCTTCACTCCGACAATGCTGAGCTGCAATCCTTTGTCGTATCTATATATGTCATTGGCTTTGCCGTCGGCCCACTGGTGGTAGCGCCGCTGTCCGAGCTGTTCGGCCGCGCAATCGTTTACCATGTGTCGAACGTGGTGTTCCTCGGGGCGACCATCGGGTGCGCTCTCAGCACCAATGTAGGCATGTTCCTTGCCTTTCGGTTACTCTGTGGCTGTGCTGGAGCCGCGCCTTTGGCTCTTGGGGGAGGTTCTATCAGTGACATTATGGAACCGGAACGAATGGGCACTGCGATGGCTGTCTGGGGCTTGGGATCATTGGCACCACCGGTAGGGGATCTCCCACGAATATCCTTTGGCGAGATGCTCCCCGATAAGACTGACCGTGGATGATCGTTTGTGAGAGATGTAGGTTTTCTCTCCCATCGCAGGGGGCTACCTCAGTGAAGACGTGGGATGGAGATGGATCTTTTGGGTGATAGCGATACCGGTATGTTCCTCCATAATGGTGCGCGGCGAAAGATATCGAGAATTGGTTGGGGGGGGGGAGTTTGTGGCCTCTTCAGCAACCACATAAATTAGACTAATGACAATACTTCGTTGATAATAGATGGGACTCCTCACGATAATGTCACTGTTTGTTCTCCAGGAGACTTACGCCCCAGTGCTGCTAGCACGCAAAGCGCAACGTCTACGCAAGGAGACAGGTAACCTGGAGCTAAGGTCACGACTAGACCAACAGCAACTCTCCCGGAAGGAAGTAATTATCGGGACCCTCGTGCGGCCACTCAGAATCCTATTGACGTCGCCCATCGTGATGTTACTTGCGATTGACATGGCCATAGTCTACGGTTACCAGTACCTTGTCTTCACCACACTGTCATATATCTTCCAGGACCAGTACCACCTGTCAACGGGTGTCTCCGGGCTAGTCTACTTGGGCAATGGGATTGGAACGATTCTAGGTATCACGAATCCCACACCAACTCCCTAAGTTCCCCCCTCACTAAAAGAAACCAGGCATCTTCGTAATCGGCCACGCATCCGACAAAGTCACCGAGCACAGGAAGAAAAAGGCTTCAGATCCGGATGAAAGCCTTCCACCCGAAGGCTGGCTCTGGCCCATGCTTCCCGCGGGCATGCTTGTCCCCGCCGGACTCTTTTGGTACGGCTGGTCATTGCAAAGCAACGCATTCGTCGTCGTACCGCTGGTAGGGCTAGGCGTGTTCGGCTTTGGCATGATGGGTATCTTCCAGCCGGTGCAGATCTACGTGGTCAACGCGTTTGGCAAGCATGCCGCCTCTGCTATGGCGGCGACGGCCGTGCTGCGAAGCCTGGTGGGCGCTTTACTGCCGTTGGGAGGCCAGAGGATGTACGATGCGCTTGGAATGGGATGGGGGAACAGCCTACTGGCTTTTATTGCGGTGGGACTCATGCCAGTCCCGTTTCTGTTGATGAAGTATGGAGCACGCCTGAGACAGTGGGATTCAAATCTCAGGTGAACTAAGAGCGCAACGCAGAGTATTGGTGCTTTAATTAGATCTTGGTATATATGAGGGTTATCTTTGTTACCATCGTATAAGTGTCAAAGATTCCATAGCCGTTCTAATCGAATGTTGTCAATACCACAGGTGCTTAGCATTTAGCTACAAATTGCTTTATGCCAGTTATGTGAGCATCGTAATTCCAGCGTTGCTTTTTGTTGGGGATTCACCCCGGACTACTTTCGTCTGTGGGGTAGCCAGAAAACTTTTGCTCTCACAACAAAAAAGAAGAAAAAACAAGGTGGGATAAAAAAGAATGAAATGTATTGTTTTTCACCTAATCCAAGTTCTAGAAGCAACATTCCTGTCTTGTGTATGTGTCTGTATCCAAAGCCGTATATCTTAATTTCTTAAACTAATGACATATCTCCCTCTCATGTTTCTGAAAAAGCGCGTCGATCTAGAGAGGCGAAAGTTCAAACAGTACCAAGTATAGCTTTTCGATAAATCTGTGGGGTTTTGAAAAGGAGGTAATCTAATCTATTATGATAACCGCATATATAGAGGGAAAGCTCCCTAACATCCAAACTGGGTTGCACACATGAACAGGAGCATTTTAAGTTGAACCCAAGGTCCTCCATCACGGGTTAGGTTTCTCCTCTCTTGTGATACGAATCAAACAGGTGAAAGCAGTAGCCGAGAAGAACAATGCTCCGGCCACCAGGTAAGGCAAACCTTTTCCAAGCCCTTCCTGTCGCAGGCCTTGCCGAAACGCAGCCGCCAGAATGGGTCCTGCGACTAGCGATCCGATACCCTGTGCCAGACCGATCCCGGAGTTGAGTACTCCTACCTGAGACGGAGAGACCAGTGCTGTCGCTAGACTCCGTAGCGCCGAGTAAAATCCCCATCCAAATCCAAAGAAACACACCCCAGCGACAAATACACCAGGCTGTGCGGCCAGGGCCATGAGTAAGGCCCCAAGAGTGAGGATCAAGGCACTCCCCTGAACAACCCGGAGGTCTTTGACCGCCGGAGTCCACGACATCTGTCGAGTCAGCTTTGCTGACAGCCAAGGGAGGATTAGCAGGAGAGTAATCAGGTTGATGACACCCTTGAAGGTGACGAGGAAGCTAGCTCGCGGGATACTCCACATGAAGCGGTTTGACGCGTATGGGATGATTAACTGTAGCGCCTGTTTACCTATGCTGGCTAGCAGAAATGTACCCACAATGTAGGCCATGTTGAGGTCCCAGCCGTTCTCGCCGGCGCTCTGGAGGTGCTTCCAGTATCCACTAACGGTGTGTCTCCAATGTTGATACATGGACCGGGGGCAGTCATGCCCTGTGCCGTCGTCGTCGTCGCCGCCACCACCGGCCCACCATAATCCTCCCTGTCGCTCATGAGTATTCGTCGTCTGGTCAGATTTGGGACATTGATCAGGACGTGTCTCGGACACCAATGCAGCCGCCAGTAACCCCCCTAGCTGGACTACGACACCTAACAGGGTCGGCACCCATGGACTGGACATCATAAGGAAGGCACTGATGGGAGTGGCGAGGATTTCGCCGAGTAAGACCACGGCGGCCATGATGTAGAAGATCGATGCCCTAATTATTGCGAATTTGCGAGGGGTGTGTGTTAGTCAACTAGAACGTGGCAATGAGAAAGTCAACGGGGAATGGCGGTCATTGTCGCCCTACCGTTTCTCCAAAGGGACTACATCAGTTATCATAGCGTAGGCCATGGCTGTTGCTGTCTGTGCACCACCGCCAATGATCTGGAAGATGGGTGTCACCCAGATCATCCGCAACGGGATCACGACGTTCCACCAGCATACCAAGCGGATAGCGACCTCCTCCAGCACGAGGCCGGCCAAGCAGAGAAGTAAAATGGGCTTGCGGCCAAAACGATCAGCTGCGAGGCCGTACGGCAGCGCCAGAATGATGCCAGGTAGCTGATCAATGGTATCCTTCCAGCCGATCAGTAGGGCCAGCTCCCCTTGCACCTCGGGGGATTTGCAATCGCCGCCTCCCCCAGGCTGGTGACAGATAAGGGATTCGAATATCGCGATTTGAGGGGCGACGGTCAGAGCATTTCCAAAGTCAGCAGCGACAACCGATATGCCCACGAGGAGGAGAAGGCGTTGGTAGCCCGAAAGAAAGGGCTTGGGTGATGAAACATCATGAATATGTCCTAGGAGTGGCTCCTCCTCCGTAGGCTCCTCAATAGCTCTACGAGTCTGCATGGGATGGATAATTTTGGGGGGCGCCGCCTTGGGGGGACAGGTGGCGCGAATGGAGGGCGTAGTTTGTGCCTGCGACCCCAAAATACTGATGTGATGATACGGGGGATGGCAAATGGGACTACCAGGCTTTCCCCTTTTGCTTGTTTGATTAAGCAATTTTGTCGGGGGCGGAAATAATGACACCCCGTGGTGACATTCTGGCTGATAAGAAAGCAGAGAAGACGGAAGGCCGGCGGGAGACCGAACGAGAGGCTGACGGAGGTCATCTGACACAGCTAGCGTCGCTCACCATGTATACTAGTACTAGTACTAGTACTATGTATACTCCTTCGGTGTACTACGTTGTAAATTGCAAAAGTTGGCCGGTATTGTTCAATTTACAATACCATGATCTCTGGTCTCCAAGGTTTGCTCCTGGCTAGTACTTCTTTAATCACAAAGGAGTGAGAGGCTTGGTACTTTGGCATAAAGGGACTCCTGGCCATTCCAGTCAAGCGTGAGAAAGAATTAGGTGCGTCAAACGAACAAAGCGTGGCATCAATCCGATTAACAACGCGAGATGGCTAAAGGTTTCTGGCAGCAGACGTTTGCCGACGTCCAAACTTCTCCCTACCCTGTCTTTCCTGTCGTGGGATACAAGCCTTGCATTGGAACTGTGATTGACCACGAAATTGACCAGATCGACTTTGGCACCAGCCATGACCAGCCGTACACATTGTCCACCAAGTTATATGCCGCCTGGGCGTTGCTCTTGGCCCAGTATGCCAACACCTCCGATGTGGTGTTTGGAACGATGGTAGATGGCTTGCAGAGTGACTTGAATTGCTCCGAAAATGTTCCGCAAGAGCAAGACGCTCTTCCACTACGAGTGCCAGTCAACTGGGAATGTGACCTTGATCACTGGTTGCAGGCCAACCAGGACCGAGTAGCGGCTATGCAAGAAGCTGATACACCCAGAATACTGGACCAAATCCGGGCTTGCAGTCAACAGGCCAGGGAAGCCTGTGAATTTCGGACATCACTTGTGGTGAGAGATGCTGAACCAGAAGTGTATGAGGTATGCTGAACATGGTTTTCTTCTAATAATTCTCCAATATCGCCTTTGACTCAGATAGACGCTCACACAATGATGGCTAGGGGAACCACCCATTCTCCATTGAACGAGCCCTCCATACGGATTTTCTTGCTCTGATCGTCGAGTGCTTCCCATCTACCCATCGCCGGACACTATTACTACGGCTCCACATCGATGGGGCGGTAATAGATACCTATCAGGCCGAACGCATGGTGCTTCAGCTCACATATCTCATCCGCCAGCTGTGTAACCCCGCTCTACACCGGCAGGAACGGGTGGTGGGGGATCTGGATATTCTGTGTGACAAAGACAAAGCACTAATTTGGAAGTGGAACGGAACTATACCAAGGATGGCTAACACCTGTGTCACCGATCTCTTTGCGTATCAAGTTCAGAGGCGAGGAGATCATCCCGCCGTGCACGCATGGGATGGGGGTCTTACATACGCTGAACTGGATGAACGGTCAACTCGACTGGCCGTATGGCTATGTAAAAGTAAAATTGCAGGCCCGGGGCACATTATACCCATTTGTTTCGATAAGACCTTGTGGACGACAATCACCCTCTTGGCCATCGCAAAGGCGGGCAGTACTTTCATCATGCTGGATCCTCATCAGCCGTTGGGTCGCTTGAAGGCTATAATGGAACAAATTCAATCACCTACAATCCTGGCTAGGCATGACACCGTTCGTCTGGCTCAATCCTTGGCTGGTAACGCTGTCATCGTGGATGAAGAGCTTCTTCGATCGAAACACGAAGTCCCTTCTTCCCTTCACAAGATTTCCATTGCCCCATCCGACCACCTGTATATTGTCTTCACATCAGGGAGCACAGGCACTCCCAAAGGCGTCATTATATCGCATGCCAATCTCTGTACGGCAGTAGGACACCAGGCGCGTGCACTCGGGTTTGACACGGGAGTTCGCACATTTGACTCCTCATCATACAGCTTCGACGCATATGTCTGCAACACCTTCCATACTCTCTTGACTGGGGGTTGTTTATGCGTTCCGTCGGAGAATGATCGCATGAATAACCTGCAATCGGTTTTACAGGTGATGGAGGTCGAATTTGCGCAGCTTACCCCTTCCACATCCCGGCTTCTAGAACCGAGTAAGCTACCACGCCTGCGCACGTTGATTCTGACGGGCGAGAAGATCAACCGCACCGTGCTCGAGCCCTGGTTGGCAACATCCGGTCGGGTGCGCGTCATCAACGTCTATGGCCCCTCTGAGTGCACCATTATGTGTGCGGGCAACCGCAATATCAAGTGTCTTAAGGATGCAGAGAGCGTTGGTTTCGGGTTGGGTGCGAATCTGTGGATCGCTGATGTTAACAATGTCAATCGCCTGGCTCCGATCGGCGCCGTAGGGGAATTGTTGATTGATGGACCGATCATTGGTCAGGGATATCTCAAGGATGCGCAAAAGACCCGAGAGTCATTGGTTCAGATCCCTGGAGGTTATTTGCCAGGCATCACATTGGCCCCAGACCGCCCCGTCTTCCGCACGCGAGACCTGGCGAGGTACAATACAGATGGATCCATAACATTCATTGGCCGCGCCGATACGCAGATCAAAATCAACGGTCAAAGGGTAGAGATCGGGGAGGTGGAGTATCACCTTGGCCAAAGTCTCCCCGAGGGAATGAACGCCGTCGTGGAAGCCGTAGAATGGCCATCGGGTCAAAAGCAATTGC